TCATGAAAAGACTAAAAGGTAAAGGTAAAGGTTTCCCCTGACATTAAGTCTAGTCGTGTCTGACTCTGGGGTGGTGGTGCTCATCTCCATTTCTAAGCTGAAGAGCTGGTGTTGTCCATAGACACCTCCAAGATCATGTGGCCAGAATGACTGCATGGTGCGCCATTACCTTCCCACTAAGGCAGTACCTATTGATCTCACATCTGCATGTTTTTAAACTGCTAGGTTGGCAGAAGCTGGACCTAACAGTGGGAGCTCACCCCACTCCCCAGATTCGAACTGCCAACTTTTCGGTCAGCAGGTTCAGCAGCTCAATGGTTGAACACGCTGCGCCACTAGCCCCCTGAAAGAAGTACTAGCTACTCTAAAAAGGATATCCTGAAGAAGGAAAAGTGATTTTGTGGTTATACTCCATTTGTGAAGAGCTGAAATCATTTTACATTTTTTACTCCTCCAGTTAAGAGTATTGACAATAGTGACTGCTCATTTGCTTTAGTGCTCCCTTGTGAACCGCACTGCCATTACAATCACATGGGTGCTGTTGTGTAGAATTTAGGAGTAGAATTTAGTAGAATTTTGAAAATTCCTCACACTGATTAGGCAAATAACAACTGAGTTGTTTAACATCTACATGAAGCCGTTGGGGGAGATCATCCGGAGTTTCGGGGTGCGGTGTTATCTGTATGCAGATGATGTCCAACTCTGTCACTCCTTCCCACCTGCTACTAAGGAGGCTGTTCAGGTCCTGAACCGGTGCTTGGCCGCTGTATCGGACTGGATGAGGGCTAACAAATTGAAACTGAATCCAGACAAGACAGAGGCACTCCTGGTCAGTCGAAAGGCCGAACAGGGCATAGGGTTACAGCCTGTGTTAAATGGGGTTACACTCCCCCTGAAAACGCAGGTTCGCAGCTTGGGTGTGATCCTGGATTCATCGCTGAGCCTGGAACCCCAGGTTTCGGCGGTGACCAGGGGAGCATTTGCACAACTAAAACTTGTGCGCCAGCTGCGCCCGTACCTTGGGAAGTCTGACTTGGCCACGGCAGTCCACGCTCTGGTTACATCCCGCATAGATTACTGCAACATGCTCTACGTGGGGTTGCCTTTGAAGACGGCCCGGAAGCTTCAAATGGTCCAGCGTGCAACAGCCAGGTTGCTAACAGGAGCAGCGCTCAGGGAGCACACAACTCCTCTGCTGCGCCAGCTCCACTGGCTGCCAGTTTGCTACCGGGCCCAATTCAAAGTGCTGGCTTTAGCCTATAAAGCCCTAAACGGTTCTGGCCCAGCCTACCTATCCGAATGCATCTCTTCCTACGAACCCTCCAGGAAGTTAAGATCATCTGAGGAGGCCCTGCTCTCGATCCTGTCTGCTTCGCAAGCACGCTTGGCGGGGACGAGAGACAGGGTGGCCCCTCGGCTGTGGAACTCCCTGCCTAGGGATATTAAATCAGCCCCCTCCCTCCTGACCTTTCGTAAGAGAGTGAAAACCTGGCTCTTCGAGCAGGCATTCGGAACCCCGGAATAGTCAAGCTTGAGATGGAGAATGACCCAGGAACGGCCAAGACGATGAAACGGATGAGGATTGGATTGAGAGGATATAGCTCTTTTTAAATTGTTATTGCACTGTCTTTTTTTTTGTCTAAATGCACTTAATTGTTTTTGCTTTTGTATTGTATTGATGGCATCGAATTGTGCCGATATGAGTCGTCTGCAGGCTGATATGGGCGGGATAGAAGTGATGTAAATAAATAAATAAATAAATAAATTGTTGGTCAGGATTCCCATGGCAAGTTGTGAATCAGCATTAAGAGCTGCTGAATGAATGTGATGTCTCAGCATCATACTGCCTGAAGAAATGGTAAAAAATAGTTCTAATATTCCTCAACAAAGTGACATATTTGAGCAGACTTCTTGGCTTTATCTGAGACTTGGAAAACACAAAAGTACTATTCCCCCACAAGTTCATTGCCAGTCAGAAAAAAAAATGAGTGAATGAGATTAAAAGAGGGCAGACAACAACACTAACGATGACAACAAACCTTTAGAATATAGAATGAGGGGGAAAAGCAGATAGCCAAATAAGTCTAAGAAAGTCTGGAATGAAAGAGGAGTAACACTGAGGAAGAACAAAGGATATCCAACAAGAGACAAACTGGGGAAACCAGAAATCTAGTATTAAGGAAAATTAAATGTTTAGGTCCAGCAGGTTCAGCAATAAAAGTTAACCCACATCTGAATGTCTCTTTCTTGTGGTTTATAAAAATGCTGAATTAGTTGTTACCTTTGCAGCCAAGGGAAGCTCAGTATCTACAATACTATACAGTTTTGCCTGGCTTCTGAAAAGGAGGAGGAAAGCCATGTTACCTGTAACCTTTAACAGCTTTAAATTTCAGCTATTTTGTGACCTATCAAATCAAATAATGAAGATAAAACTCAAAGCTGAGCAGTAACACCAAAGCCAAACCCCAATGCATTTCATATGGAAGTGCTCTGCTGTAAGGGAAACGATAATTAGTATTTCCCTAAGCAATCTCTATGCTACAGCTCTCATCTGCTTCACATGAAGGCTCCTTTCAATGCACCACCAATGCAATTTCCCTTCAAGCTTCCTTCCTAATATATGGAAAAAGAAAGCACTATATTTACCATCAGATAACTACCATGGAACAGCACAAAAAAGCTTTTAAACTAGTGTTTAGGATTCACACTGAAGTAGAAAGATTGCATTGAGGAAAAAACATTTTTAAAAAACAATGACTTTAAAAATTACATAGAAGAGGGATGCTTTGTTTTCCATTAATAGGCAGTCACTAGATACTAAAAGCCATTTCAACCACTTTTCTCACAATGGAGGATAAAATGTATTTGTTCAAAACTATAAAACAAAAGAAATTCAGGACATCACTTTTTCTTAATAGCGATCTCTAGATATTCTGAAGTTAGCAAAATCTGAACCATTATTTGGTCCTATTTCCCTGGAAGCACTGAACTATCTGGGAAGAGGAAATCAAAGGCTTCCCTTTCTCTCTCAATCTGCATGCTGCAAGACACCCCCCCTTTATTGTATCAATAGTTTCCTCCTAATCCAAACTGATTTGCAAAATCAAGACTGCTAATTAGTATCAATACAGTAATTCTGCTTTTCATTGGAAGAACAAACGGTACTCTTTCATGCATGCATGTGCAAAACAGGTAACATCCACCAGAAAGGGATGGAAGGAACTTCATCATATAAAGGAATTACACACAGGGCAAAAAAGTACCACGCTAATCCCAAATTTATACTGTAATCCCAAACCACAAAAATTAAAATTCTCGGAAGGGAAGGCTTCTTACAAAAGGTTGTTACTGGAACACTTATTTTTAAAAATCTTGAATATCCATTCTTCTAATGTATAGAGCCACCTTCACCAAATGGACCATACCTGGTGCTGCCCTGAAATAGAGGCCAGAGAACTTCTAATGAGACTTTGCCCCCTTCAGTTTTCTGCTGAGCCAAGAATCAACACTTGGGAGAGAGATGAAGAAAAATGCATGTATGGCCTAGATAGACCAGACTTGGGTTTAATGCCTAACACCTTCAGGCAGCATGCTGTTTGGTTACAGTGTGCCTTCAAGTCATTTTCAAGTCACGGTGACTGTAAGGTGAATCTCTCATCTTTTTTTTTTTCTTGGCAAGATTTGTTTAGCGAGGGTTTGCTTTTGTCTTCCACTAAGACTGAGAGTCAGTGTGACATGCCAAAAGCCACTCGGTGGATTTCCATTGCTGGGCAGAATTTCAAACCTTGGCATATCAAATGTTGATTAAATTCACCTACGGTTTATGGATTCTGAACATAGGATTTTGAAGTTGCATTAAATATACCGAAGTTCTACTTCAACCTTCCAGGGACATCTTTCTTAAGATTTCTGTCTACAAAATGTGCATTTTTCTTTGCAAAAAGCATCTGCAAGGAGGATCCTGTAAATGCCAGCATTATTAGAGAGAGAACACTTGTGTATTTTTAGCAAGGATCAAGAGACATTGTGTTTAAGCTCATCATTTCTGTCCAAAGTTTTTCTTCTTTTCATGTTTTTTGAAAGATTATTTTACTTCCATTTGTATAAATCTGATTCATCCTACAGAAAAGCTGCAGCATCATTTGGATGTGAGGTGAACACAAATTTCTGTCACTAGAGGCTTTAGAACATATGCCTCATTCATTTTCTTTCATCTTTTAACCCTAAGCCATATTTTTCCCACTGCATATCTTTTCTTTCTCAAACCTTTTGTAATCTTTCCCCTGAAAACAACTAAATTATTTTCTCTTTCTATGGTTCTGCTGTTTCAGAAAAGGTGAGAAGATCTAGAAATTGTGTGTTTCTGCCTTTATTCTGATGCACGCCATTTTGTGCACATTGCTACATTTCACAATATATAGAAAAGGATGCAACAGCAACCATCTTAAGAGCATATGCAATGCATACCTGCATCTTTTATGTGAAAAGCAACATGAAAACCTGCCTTTCACTATGAAGTATTGTTTCCATGGTTATGACATTAAAAAAGACTATTCAATTTGACATGACAAATTATTTAAAGACAAGACCATATATTTACTTATTATTCTACCTTTCTCCCGATATGGGACCCATGGTGGTTATGCACACTGCGGTCCAAAAATGTCATCCAGCTGCATGCCTGTTTTCGGAAGGTAAGCGAAAATGGATATGGAGGTCTACCAGTATCCAGCCAGCAGAAACAGATCAAGGTCAGCCAAAATGCACAAGCCTACAAGCAAGAGCTCTGGAGAACCATATGCTAAAGGCAATACAGAGCCATCACAACTAATTGTAATATAACCATATAACCCCTGAAAATCCCACAGGATTGTGTTCTTTTTTTCCTGAATGGTATCTCAGATTCAAGATGAAAAGAGAAAATCAAAAGTGAGTGGAGACTGATAAGAAAAAGAAGGAAGTGGATTAGTGGGGGGGAAAATGAGGGAAAATATACTGCATTTCACATTATATTAAAACATTTATTGCTTGACAATTTAACAGCTTGTTCAATCAAACCCAATAACGTTGCCATGACAAAGTTCTAATATCATTTTAAAAAATTCAGCTTGGTCAGCAAATTTAGCAATTTCCTTTGATGCACAGATATATACCAATTAACATGAAGCATCACAGTATAGCCAAAAGCACAGCATAGCCAAAAGCTAAACTGTGATGCTATTAGTACTCCTGCTACATCTTGAAGTGCTAGATAAATTGGAAAGAATTTCTCCCTCCATATGTAATAAACCAACAATCCCCTTTTGCTTTATCTGCACTTGCAATAGACAGCGCCAGTAGTTTTTTTTAAAAAGATGCTCTCACTTGAAAAACTTAACTGAAAACATTTTCCATGAGCTGGGACATTTGTGCTTGATTCTCATAAAACTCCAAGCCTAACATAATACTTTTCTCACTGACATAAAATATGATAACTGGTAACCAAAGTAACTCTGCATCTCTGTCTCTCATTCCAGGTCTCATTGAATTTTGTGCAAAAAAAGAGACAGATTTTCTTAGCATCTCTTTGGTGGCATTCTTTGTATTCAACACATGACGGTTGCCTGCTAAGTGGGACAGAAGCAAAAACAGGTTCTCAAGATGCTACTTTCACCATACAGCTCATAACATAATTCTGTCAATTATGCTGGATGGGGAAATCTGAGAATGGTCTCCCCTAAAATTAACATTTATAATCCCCTTATCATAATATTGCTAGTTAAAATAACAACATGTTGGTATTTTACATGTATGGTAGAAAGAATATAGAAACCCAGAGATGAAAAAAAAAATCAGGATATTTTACTTTCGTTTTCTGTATTAGATTTAATACAATTTAAAAATCATTTTATCAGACCACAATACTGTAATTTTTAACAGCTGAGAAAAAACATTAGCAAATATAGAATGGCAATGTTTTAAACATAATCTGAAACAACAAACAGAAAAAGTACTGAAATGGCTTTTCATATGAGTAGACATAAGCTTGCAAATCCTCTGGGCATGTAGTGTGGGATGATGCCAAGGAACACTGTGCTTAGATTACCTATGTCTGAAAATCACAAACTGCTACTCATTAGAATAACATGGCGTATTTGATTTTACAATACTAGGATTTTTAGTCACTCATACAATTTATCAAGGCTTTCAAAATTTGCTTTATAAATCTATCTGCATTTTTTAAAATACCAATAAAAAACTATGCTTTTTTCTATAATTGCACATACTTTTAACAATATTACCCATAAGATCAAAAATGTAATTTCAGTGCATCATACTCTTTTCAATTACCCGTAGTATATTTAGCCTAAATTCAACATTGCACGAAGCCAATTCCCTTTTTTTCTATTCCCCAATGCAACCCTATCACTACCCAAAATCAAATCCAGAGGGATTCTCAGGCCTCCAGAATGCATTTTATGGTATAGGGAGTTTGAAGAGGGATGGGGAGATCATCACCTTCCTAGTTACATTTGCAAATTCCATTCATTCTGTGGAAGCACTCAAATGGATTTTAATCTTTAAGTAGCCAGCAGTATTTACAAGATAGAAATCAAACTTTAGAAGGCTGATAAAATGCAAAATAGAAAATGTGTGCAGATTCAGAAACATGTACAAATAAACATATGCATAATGCATGTCAGAGTAGAAATCACTTCATATTTCATAAGAGTTAAAAAAAGATTTTCCCGAAAAAGATGCTTTTGGCTCAAAACGCTGCAGTTACAAAAATTGTCACAGTCTCAAAAATAATTATTCCATAATCCGTAGCACATAAAGAATGCCAAGATTATCAACAGTCACACATACTTTGAAATCTGGGGACACATGCAGAGATTTAAGATCTGTTCCATTTGTGTAGAATGTTTGTAGGGGTTGACCAGTATCCACACTCCACCACTAAAGGGAAGGAAGAAAGAAACATGTTCCCACTTAGGAAGATCTCAATACAACAACAACAACAACAACAACAACAACAACAACAACAACAAGCAAAGACTCTGGCACAAGCAGGTAAAGGTGGTCCCAGTGGTGATCGGCACACAGGGTGCAGTGCCTAAAGAACTTGGCCTGCACTTAAACACAATCAGCGCTGACAAAATTATCATCTGCCAGCTGCAAAAGGCCACCTTACTGGGATCTCCACAGAGGTAGAGAATAACAGGATATAAAAGTTCTAAATAAATGAAGATCTGCACGCATTATTTGCCGATAAATCACACAGTCCTAGACACTTCGGAAGTGTCCGACGTGTGATCCAATACAACAGACAGCAGAGTGATTTTGTTTGCTGTGGACTCATCTTATGTTTCAAATAATAATAATAATAACTACTACTACTACTACTACTACTACTACTACTACTACTTTATTTGTATACCCCGCCTCAATCTCCCCAAAGGGCCTCAGGGCGGCTTACAAAGTGACATGGCCAACAAAATAAGTTAAAATAAACATGGAAAACCAACAATGTAAAACATCAATAAACATAAAATCAGACATTATAAAAACAATTAAAAGCAATATCATGGCTGGGCAAATAAAGTGTTGTGTTCGGTTCATAATTACTAAGTGCAATGAATCCTAAGTAAAGGCAGGGAAAGTGCGACAATCAAAGAGCTGGGCTAGGAGGCAATTTTTTTAGGCTATTAAAGTGTTAGAAGTGCCAGAAAGGGACCATGTTGAAGTGCAGGAGCTGGATATGTTGGGAAATGCTGTGGTGAACTGCCTTATTAAAGGCACAACGGAACAGCCAAGTTTTTAATTCTTTGCGGAAAATGGAGAGAGTGGGAGCCTGTTTGATCACTCTGGGGAGGGAGTTCCAGAGCTGAGGGGCCACCACAGAGAAGGCCCTTTCTCTCTTCCCCACCAACCGAGCTTGTGAGGGTGTTAGAAACAAGAGAAGAGCTTCTCCAGATGATCTTAAAGTACATGCTGGCTCATGTTCTAAACTAGGGTTTCTTAAAGTTTTCCACTCATGATCCCTTTTTGCCTGAGAAATTTTTATGCAAACACGGGCAGATAGATATAAAAAATAGGTATAAAAATCAAACATCTACTGATGAGCTTGCTAAACTGGCTGATTTTCCCTTTTATGAAGTGTAGCTTAAGCATCATTTGCAGAGCCCACTGTAAACACTGCACAACAGATTTGTGTAAATGTTTAAAACAGCCACTAGGTCACGATCAGAAAGATTTTACTGTTGCCATATTTTTCAGGACCTCAACACAGAGCTGGAGTTACCCCACTTGGGGCTGGAACCCATAGTTAAGGAAGCATTGTACTAGACAACACAAACTAGACAATTTGGATCTTATTTTTCCCTATATGTTTTACAAGAACATACGATTCCCTTTTCAGTCTCAGATTTCAGGACAGAATGATGCTGAAAACATTGTATTTTAACACTGATTTTGCTTTGTTGGGAGATGGCTATTTTCAACCAAAGAGGGATGAGATAACATCCTGGCTAGCTATTGGCTATACAGAGAGCTTACTAAGTAATAGTAAATCATTTCATATATGTTGTAAAAACATAATGTTATTTCATTAACCATTTTATACCTTTATATATCCTGAAGAAGAAACCAGGATTTTACTGTCAGGGGAAAACCAAAGGTCTGTTACCCAGCCTTCATGTGCTGATTCGCCTTCATCTTTTGAAGCACGAGAACAGAGATGGAGCAGCTCACCTCTTGAGACATCCCACATCTGAGACAAAAATAATATAAAACATGCATGTAGTATAGGATCATACATAATACCGTTTAAACATTTTACTGGACACAAAGTTTACTAGACTCGCATATCTTTGTAAGATACTTGTTCAGTGTTTTCTGAAACCTCAAATCTCCACATTTATTCTACCCACTCAGCGAAGTGTATTATTCTGTCTTTCAAACTACCTTATAGAAAGGTATGTACATTAAACTTTTCTTCCTATTATCCTTCTAAATATCTTGCAACCATTTAAAAGTTTCCCATTCATTTTATTTTCTGGAAACCATGCCCTATGAGGAGTGGCTTTGAGAGCTGGTTATGTTTATCCCCAAGAAGAGAAAGTTAAGAGGTGACATGATAATTAAATACAGGTATCTGAAAGGATGTTATACAGAAGGTATAGCACCCCCCCCCCCCCCCCGCTAGTCCAGAAATTAAGACATGGAGCAAAGGAGTGAAACTACTGAAGAATAGATTCCACCTAAAAATTAACAAAACATTCCTGATGGTAAGGGTTGTTTGATAGTGGAATATACTGCCTCAGAGTGTGATAGAGTGTCTTTCTCTGGGGTTTTTAAATAGAGGCTGGATGGCCATCTGATAGGAGTGCTCTTATTCCTGCATGGCAGCGGGTTGGACTGGATGGACTCTTCCAATTCTATGATTTTAACTCTCGATGACACCTTTCTTTACTACATGTTATTGTAGGAATGCAATTTCAAAACACAGACAAAGACCTTACAAGACTAAAGGAGCCATTAATTATCTATCTGTGTAGATAATCTACAGTTTGATATAGTACTTTCCACCGCACTAGGTACATAAAAAAATAATTCAATAGTAGCAAAATGGAATACCCGTATTTCTCTATTGTCGTCTCCTGTGGCCAACAGTTCATTATTATGCGAGAAAGCACAGCATCTTACACAGCTTTCATGACTATTTAGTTTATGAAGCATTGATGATGTTTCAAAACTCCATATCTGAAGATTTAAAAATTAAATATATTGGTTAATTTGTATTTCAGCACATTTAATTTCATTTTACATTCTAGCAGTAAAAGACATTTGGTCCTCAACTACTCAGATATCAGCACTGATAAAGTATTTCACAAAATGTAAATGTAAAAGCTTCTATGCAGATAGTTTATGAAAACAGGAGGATAGTGAGTCAGAGAAATTCACTTTTTATTATGAAAAATAAACAAGTAAAAGATGTAGAATAAAAGACTAAGGAGAAAAGGGTTGTTTAGAACCAAGAAAGGGATAAATGACAATCAGGAGAGAAAACACAAAAGGCTCTGCTCTGGCCAGAGGCAGGGGAAAATTGATGTTTGAATGAAAACTTTTACCCTTCTTTCCTGCCTGTTCGGACTGATGATAGCTTGAAATCCATCCTATGGGTTCCTCCTCTCACCAATCCCAATAATTAAAAAACATGTACTTCCCTCACAGAAATAAACTGTGTGTAATTTTTAAAAAATCTCTGGCTGGATCACTTTAGTGGTACAGAAAATTTAGCATGTGTTTGTAAATATTTGCTCACCTTGGCAGTCTTGTCAGAAGAGGTAGTAGAAAACATAGTGGCATCTGGTGAAATAGCGCAAGAAAGAATAGCATTTTCATGGCAGATGACATCTTTTTCTAATTCTCCAGTAATTATGTTCCAAAGCTGTAATACAGAATCTTGAAGTGAACAATTATTTTGGTACAAAGCATGCAAAAATAATGCCAATGTGCCTGTTTTTCTTTCAAAATAATATGTAACATATGGATTTAAAACATCAAATAATCTTCATTCACTGTTCATTTTACAGTTTAGTTAAAAGGAGATCCCCTGAATAATTTTTCTGGATGTCTTAGTTTTATTTTTAAAGAATCAGAACAAATATGGAATTTGATATGAATTTTGTTCACTTCCATGTAATTTTAGCTACAAGCCCCAATCTAGGCTGTCAGTATGAAGACTTTTTATTTACCTTAACTGTCCCATCAAATGACCATGACAGAAGCCTTGAATCTTTTAGAAGAAGAAATTTCTTGACACGTTCATTGTGACCTTTTAGAAGAATGCATTTCTCTGACTGCCAATTCCATACCTGATTAAAACAGCCACAAAAGATGAAGAAAATGGTTTTTGAATTCATCCACCACTATTTCTTTCAAGACAAATACAAAGACCTCAAGTACTTGGATCAAGTACTTCTTTCACATAGGCAGGCATCTTGTTCGGAATATGTGTCATTGCAAACTGACTTTTGCATGGCTGTAGAGAAGTAGTTTCTGCTAGACTAGATACTTTGATGTAGTCCATCATTGTGGCTATGCTTGACAATCCAAGATCTGTCTTTGAGTATTATACACATTAGATATGCTTTGGACTCCTCTAGCATGGCTCCTATGTTTCTGCAAGCCAGAAGGCAAAGCAGAGGCAGCATAGCACAAGTTCCATGGGAAGGAATGCTAGACATTTTTTCTTGTTATATTCTGTATTCCAAAACCTTGAAGCACATGCCTCTTGCAGGAATGATCCCAGTTCCAAGATTCAAATTCTAGAGAAGGTCTGGAACTAGGTATACCGACCAGACTGCATTAATGGCCACATAAGATAATATTATCTTTTTCCATTTTCATAGTCATAGAGTTGGAAGAGACTACATGGGTCATCTATTCCAACCCCCTGCCATACAGGAAAAGCACAAATTACCCCTGATGAATGGCCATTTTAACTGGTTTTCATTTTTAGATACTGATGCACCCTTTACCAAAAACAAAATTATATTTGATTATCTTGAGTGGTGCATGTCCCATTTACTACCATGAAATTTTTTTTAAAAAAAACAACATTATTGACTAATTTGATGTCTCAAAATAATGTATCTGAAGTAATCTCCGATCATTACAAATCTGGGAGTTACTTTTTCATAACACACACATTCTCAGATGGTATTTTAAGTTTAGAAAAAAAGAAAATTGCCCATACCATCATCATAAATTTTAGAGAGATCTTACATCTTACTAGACAGAACCTAGTTTATCCAAAACCATTATGTATATTCTAACAACAGTTCAAATATTCCTACACCTGTATAGTCGAGTCATCAGAACTTGAAATAAGCGTTTTCCCATCAGAAGTAAACTGGCAGTGTTGTACAGCTTCTCTGTGTCCAGTTCTAGAATTTAAAATATTTCCATTTGGCAGACTTAAGACCTATGTAAAATAAGACCAGACATGTGAGAAATTCATAGTGTACACAAAGGAAAACATAATAGCAAAGAATGAAGCACCCAAATATTAATTAAAAGTCCTAGTGTAATTAATGTGATTTTTTAAAATCAAGGACTAGGTTATTGGCATTGCCTAACCAAAGAGGGAAAAAAGCCAAATTGATTGAAATTTGCTTTCTAAGTACGGTTTCCAGTTCTCATTCAGCCTACTTTATATTAACCCATTTCCTGAAGTTTTTGATAGGACTTTAATTTTTATATCTTCTGATGCTAAGAGCTTAATGATGAAAAGAAAGGTTGCATACCTGTAACTCTGAGTGGTTATCTATTAAATCATACAAATGGCTTGTGCAACTTCTAAATCTGTAATGTAAGGTTTTTGGTGGTAACCTCACCCACTCTTAGGTGACTCATACCTCCGCCCTGGTCTATACCCTCAGTTCCATGGATGCCAATGCAGTAGCATCCATAGATCTCTAAAGGAAAGCAGACATAGTGAAGGGAGGATGGGCAAGATTGTGTGAATTCACAGGTGGCCACTTAAAACTTATAGGTATGCATCCTGCCCTTGGTCTCTGTGAACACAAAAATTGAAGAATAGCAAGCTACCAACCCAGGAGGAAGGGAATGCCATAAACAATAAACAACACTGCTCTCCCAAAAGCGAGCACCAGCCCTGGACTGTAATGAGAAATGAAGGTCAGGGACAATAACCACACAGCTACTCTGCAGAGTTATTCCAGTAAAATATTCTTGAGAAACGTGACCAACATAGCCGCAGACTGTGTGGAGTGGATACAGACTGGAGGATCCTTTCTAGCCAGTTCAGAAGTCAGATGAATTGTCTAAAAACACACATTTAAAAAAAAATGCTGTGAAAAAAACTGGCAGTCCCTTTCATTTTGCAAAATACCATATGAAAGCATCTTTGAGAATTACAAAATCCTGCCACATAGAAAGCTAGGGTCCCTTTGACATAATGGCAATGCAAGCGGCATAATGTCTTGATTGATGTGGACAGCCTGCAACGTTAAGGAAGAAGGAAATGTCCGGCTTGTCCTGATGAAACTGTAAGTAGGGTTGATCCACTCTGAAGATGCACAGCTCACCCGCTCTTCTGGCAGATGTAATCTGATGTACATTTACTATGTATTACTAGGCAAAGATCGCAAGATTTCGTCAGCTCAGGGGGCTTTTTGGATAGTTTTGACAGCACAATCTCTAGATTCCACTGAGGTATTAGATTGGAGATATAAAGGGTGAAGATTTTTGTAACCTCCAGGGTATTTCTTTATGACAGGATACTAAAATCAGATAGCTTGGCAATGACTGAGAATAACAAAATAGGAGCCAAATAGCATTTGGTGGAAGTGAAAGACCTTTACCTGAAAGAACATCATAGATTTATGATTCAACTAGGGAATTCCTCAACGTGACAGAAAGGAAAGGAGTATCTTCCATTTGCATGCATAGGAACACTGAGTTATGCAATGCTGCAAATATTTGCTGGATGCCACCAGAGACAAAAGCTAGAGAAATACTTTGCAAAGAAGAGGCGAGAAAGACCTCTACCCGAGAGAGAAAGAAGGAATGCAAGCAGATGATAGATTTGTGCCTCAACTGGGAAGTTTCTCAAGGTGACAGAAAGGAAGGTATCTCTTCCATTTGTATCTATAGGAACACTGTGTTATGCACTGATGCAATTATTTGCTAGATGGCACCAGAGAAAAAATCTAGATAAATACTTTCCAAGCCTGACAATATCCAAGTCCAGATGCTTCATCTGGCTGGATTATGAGAAGATCTAGATGGCACAGAAATTTGATATGCCTGTCTTAAGACAAATGTAAGAAAACCATGGTGCTACCATAAAGTGACCAAACTGCACCTTGTGGATATTACCCTAGTGATAACAGGAAATAACAGAAATGCAAATCAAGGCAATGAAAAAGGCAGAAGAGGTGGTAAATCCTTCTCCAAAATTTGCACTGGAGATGGCACATCATGAATAAATACTGTCACTGTATTGTATTGTAATTAACTATCTCCGCCTCCCGGAACAACTTCAAATTATTCCTGCAAAGGAATAACCTGACCAACAGGGGAAGAATGAACAGATTCTGCCTCTATTGGTATCGAAACATGTTTGTTAGACCTTTTCCTGCTCTGTTCTTTACAGTGGAGGCTTCCAAGTCAAGAGACAGGCCAGATATCAAGAGCACCTTATGGTGGACACTGGCATCATGAGAAACAGTCAGTACAGAAGAGGTTGGTAGGGAATAAGCTTTAGCGGTGGCACAGCTTTTGGAATGCCTCTGTATCTTGTGAAGACCTCTTAAACTCCAATGAACCAACAATCCAGATACCTTTTTGATTCAGGAAGATCAAATTAGGGTGAATACAGAAGTTGATACATAAAGCTTAGCAGTAACTGACAATGCCTGCTCATATAAAAATGCCTTGACTCTGGAAGATCAGTTATTCCATCTGTGTAGGGTAAAGACTTTGAAGTAAACGCAATACTCCACATTGCGGCATTCACGAAAGTACAAGAATCACTGGGATTGGCCACCCTTCCCAGGGATCTTAGCCCTACGGGTAGTACATCTTTTAAAGAATTACAAAGAATAATAGGAAAACTTTACCATAGAGAAGTCAACAATTCAAATCAAATCATGCTGAGGCACACAGCCATCCAAATCAATTAGAGCAAAAATACTTATCTAAAAAACATAGGAAGTCAGAAACCAGAAGACCAAAGCTGAGCTTCAATTCAAAATCAAGCAGATAAAACAGACTGAAAGTCAAAAAAGCCAAATGAGAATAACACTCAAAGGTGCCTATGGATAACCACAAAAACTTATGTAACAACTCTAGAACAATGCAATGATGCATTCTAAGGACACAGATAACCCATTTTTGTGAGTCACAGAGACCACAAAGGAAAACTTTTAGGTTTATCCAAATCTAAGGCTTAAAAGAGTAAATATGATTGAAAAGAATTCACACTGTAACACAACAGGCTATAAATGTTCATTTCCTCTAATTTTAATAAAGAACTGTCCCTTGCAATCTGGGATGGGGACAGTGCAGCCATTAACACTCTGAATGCCCCTCCCCCGGGTCCCATGAAAAAGTAAACCAAAGCTCCTAGGATTTAAAAAAAATGTTTGGGTGGCATTCACAGGAAAGTTAATACTGAAGCCCTGCACATGCACACGTGTGCAAACAAAACCTCCCTAACACTGCTCATAACCTATTTAATAACTGAACCTCTCCTGTTTCTTATCCAAAAAGGCAACATGATGTGACATGTAATCACTTCTGAATTCAATTTTGGAGCCTGAATTTGGGGCAAAGGTATTTGGGTGCACATCAGGAGGCGCAGGGTTGGAAAATTGCTCACTGTCTTTTGTTCAGTTGCCCTCACCTGTTTTAAATGTATACTAATACTAATAAACATACTGAGAGGAAGATTAAGGGAAAGATCTACCAAAAAAATTTGCAGGCAATATGTAGTCCTGAAGAGGTGAGGTGGGATTTCTATAAAGTAATGCAACAGGGAACTTTGCTCTTTCATCTAAAGTAGCTTATTTACAGCAATATAGTCTCTTTAATTACCTTTAACCTAAAACCAGCATATCTAAGAAGATAAAATAACACAACAGAAGATTCCTGTTCTGTAAGACAGTCATACAAAAACTAACCTAAGCATGTTGTTGTTGTTCATTCGTTCAGTCGTCTCCGACTCTTCGTGACCTCATGGACCAGCCCACGCCAGAGCTCCCTGTCGGCCGCTACCACCCCCAGCTCCCTCAAGGTCAGTCCAGTCACTTCAAGGATGCCATCCATCCATCTTGCCCTTGGTCGGCCCCTCTTCCTTTTGCCTTCCACTTTCCCCAGCATCATTGTCTTCTCTAGGCTTTCCTGTCTCCTCATGATGTGGCCAAAGTACTTCAACTTTGTCTCTAGTATCTTTCCCTCCAATGAGCAGTCGGGCTTTATTTCCTGGAGGATGGACTGGTTGGATCTTCTCGCAGTCCAAGGCACTCTCAGCACTTTCCTCCAACACCACAGTTCAAAAGCATCGATCTTCCTTCGCTCAGCCTTCCCTAAGGTCCAGCTCTCACATCCGTAGGTGACTACAGGGAATACCATGCTTTGACTAGGCGGATCTTTGTTGTCAGTCTGATGTCTCTACTCTTCACTATTTTATCGAGACTGGACATTGCTCTCCTCCCAAGAAGTAAGCGTCTTCTGATTTCCTGGCTACAGTCTGCATCTGCAGTAATCTTTGCCCCTAGAAATACAAAGTCTGTCACGGCCTCCACAGTTTCTCCCTCTATTTTCCAGTTGTCAATCATTCTTGTTGCCATAATCTTGGTTTTTTTGACGTTTAGCTGCAACCCGGCTTTTGCGCTTTCTTCTTTCACCTTGATTAGAAGGCTCCTCAGCTCCTCCTCGCTTTCGGCCATCAGGGTGGTGTCATCTGCATATCTGAGGTTGTTAATGTTTCTTCCAGCAATTAACCTAAATATTTTTCTGTTTCAATAGTACTTTTCAGGTAAACTCAGACAATACATTTCCACACACAAATTAAATAGTATTCTACCTTGAACATTTAAAACAAGTATAGCTATTACTGTTTTTGAAGTGACAATAATAAGTGCTGTATAGTAAGTAGATGCAAAACAGCACAAATGAATAAAAGCTATACAAATTAAGAGTTTTTCATCTAACTTGATGTTTCCATGACTGTTTGATCTTCACTTCTCAAAGATACAAACCAAGCCAATCTTTGGAAATTCTGCCAGAAACCTTCCCAGATTTATTACACTTAAGTATATCGATTTCCTGTGATAATCTTTTACAAAAAAATTATAGTTATTATGAACAGATTACTTTGATATTCACTGTGTATATAAATATGCATATAATAAATATAAATATGCATATAATTCATCAAAGCAGTTTGATGTGAACTGAACATCAGCAAAAGAAATACAATTCTACATGTGACTTTGGAAAACTTTCTATTTTCAGTCTACTGCCAAGTAATGTTGGAAATAGCTTGTGAAGAACACGAATATGCAATGGATTTGAATTACCAATTCAAACTGCAGATTTTGGCTATGATGCCACAAGTGCAATTTTGTGCTTTTAAAAATTGTATTGTTATTTTTTTAAAAAAACACTGCACTGTACTTAAAACAATAACAAGCAGAGAACACAAGCAAAGAGAACTCATTCATGGAATCAGTTACTTACCTTTACTGTTCCATTCTTTTCTCCAAATGCAGCAACCTTCAGATCATGGCTCAAGCAGCAACAGCAAATGAAAGAATCTTGTTCTTTGGTCAAATAAATGGTATTGCCTGTGAATCCATTAATAAGCTAGGAAACAATACATAATTGAAAAAAAATACATAAACCTAAGGATTCAGCATGGATAATGATCAAACACTTCTGTGTTTAGAGATGATGAAATGCAACCTAATCAAGTCTTTGCATTTATAGAACAGAATGATCAAATACAATCCAAAACAAGTATTATTCAGCACACTCAAACATACTTACTTGCAGATGCTTTGAACTATCAATGGCTAAGATGATCACGTCATTTTCCAGAAACACAACATCTATTTCACGGTTTAACACAATGGCAGAGAAGCTGCATACCTTACTTGTTTCCCAAATCTGTTGAAAACAGCAGCAGATGTTCTAGAAGGTCATGATTTAAGAGACTGACCACAAACAAATCCACAGTTTAAATATATGGCTGTTATTTAGGATAGACAAGCTTAATACAGTTGTACGTTTTTAAAAATTGTATTTGTATGTTTTTTTCATTTTAAAATAAATGTTCTTGTGGGAAGCAATATATACATCTAATAAATTAGACTATTTATTCAATTAAAATATACTTAGATTACTTGGCTATTAATAAAAACATATATGCACTTGAAGGAACATACAGTGTTCCCTTGCTTATGGCAGGTGTTCCGTGAAAATCCACAAATAAGTGAAAATCCACAAAGTGGGGACGCTCTGCTCACTCGGCGATGGCCTCCTCCTCCTCACCGCCTCTGCTGCTACCGGCCTTGGGGCCCCTTGGGCGCCATTGATGGCACTGCCAGGCTGGTCTGAGGCCTCAGCCCAACCTGGCAGTACCGTCAACTGAGCCCAAGGGGCTTCCAAGCTGAGAGCAGCAGAGGCAGCAAGGAGGAGGAGACCGCAGCCAAGTGGGCTGCGGTCCTCGCTGTCTCTGCTGCTCCTGGCCTGTGAAGCCCCTTGGGCGCCGTTGATGGTACTACCAGGTTGGCACTGCCAGGCTCCACCAATGAGCCCAGAGACAAGCCCCTGAGTTAGGCCCAGTGCCTGGCTCCCCCCCTCCCCCCCCCTGTGGCTTGGGGGGGGGAGAGGAAAACCCCACGAAAGAGCAAGTCTCAATAAGCGAAGTGCAAAATAGTGAGGGAACACTGTATATGTAAACACACACACACACAAAATCAAATCAGTATGACCAACAGATATTTCCCCACACATTCATTGCCAGTCTCTAGATCAACAAACTTTGCTTTGGGTTCCACTGATGACAGAGATAGATTGTGAAAGTTGTTGTCAAAGAAGAATATACCAGGCCACCTTCCCAGTCATAGGAAAAGATGTTCTTCTGTTGAAAGGCCTTTTCTAGCTGCTGACTGCATATTTCTACTGACTGGTTTTATTTCATATTGTATAATATTGTTTCCTATATTCTGACAAAGTTGTTTTTTGCCATAGGTATTTTTCCACTAAGATAATTAAAATTAAGATATTAAAAGTAAGTTAATAATGTTCACTTCAAGGGTGGACTTCTGCAATGAGCTTTACACATTAGGATACATCTATACAATGTTTGTAAACTTCAATTAGTGCAGTGCATTTAGCAGTGACTATATTGCACCTACCGTATATACTCGAGTATAAGCCAAGATATTCGGCCCCCTTTTTAGGCAGAAAAAGCCCCCCTTAAGCTTACACTTGAGTTAAAGTTATTGATTATTTTACTCTGTTATTATTATTATTACATTTATTATTTTACTCTATTATTACTCTTATATTTATTATTTTTCTTTATGTATTATTGTTATTAGTATTTATTATTTTACTGTATTTATCATTATTCTTATTACATTTATTATTTTGCTCTATTTTTATTATTACATTTACATTATTTTACTCTATTATTTTCATTATATTTATTATTTTACTATTATTATTAATAATAACTTTATTTTTGTATCCCGCCACCATCTCCCCAAAGGGACTCGTGGCAGTTTACATGGGGACCAAGCCCAGTCAAACACAATTAAAATAATAAAATGTATTATTTTTCTCTATTTATTATTGTAATTATTACATTTGCATTATTTTACTCTGTTATTATTTTATTACATTTATTATTTTACTACATATCAATATTAAATTTATTATTTTACTCTATATAGGTGAATAGGATAGTGAAATAGGCCAATTAAACTAATTTCCCTCTTGCCTCTTATTAAACAAGCAAGATAATGCTTATAAAATAATCGGAAAAGGATAAGGATAGACTTACTCTTATTGTTTGGTCATCAGAAGAAGTGAGGAATAAAGAACCATCAAAAGAAAATGTCACTGAATGCACCCAGCTCATATGTCCACGACAATCCGCTATTTTGGAACAGGAGTCAATATTCCATATCTGAAGCAAATACAGAAAAGTTTGAAAATCTAAGCTGCACTATAATTTGGTGGCTATTTCAGGCATCTTTCTTTTCCATTATTAACATATGAACATAAAAACAGCAACAGTTTTAAACAGGGGAATCAAGGAACTAAATACTCTATTATATATGGTATTAAAATATTTGATCACTCTTCTAGAGATAGTGGGGTTGTTAGCAGTTGTAGTATATAAAATATGTAATTATTACATATGGATAACATGTAAAACATGTTAAATATTTCAAAGCGGCAAGTGACACATATAAATTAACATTCATGTAAATTTATTTCTTAAAGCAGGACAATCCCATTTACTGCATATTTGTAGCAACTGTAAATTATGACAGAAATTCAAACAAATAGTATTCAAATGAACTACAAAATCAAGCTCATTCCGCCTAAAATGACACTAAGACTAACTACAAGCTACATCACATCTATGCCCACTATTAAATACATCACAGAGCAATAGCAAACAGGTAAAATAATTTGATGTCAAATATGCATTGGTATTTGATTGCAAGATACATGATTAATAAAAAGTTCAATTTAAATATCATTTTCCAAGTATACTCAGAGGGTATACCAGAGGATATCTGAATATCAGATATTCAGTCCCAAATTATAGAAAAATGCTTCACTGCTGAAACCCATTGATAAAATACTAGAAAGCCCTCAGTGAAGACCATGGAGACAAATGAGAAATGATGTCAGTCATAATGTCATAATGTTCACCTGCAAGAATACAATCAATAGACTTTGAACCACTTCCATGTTAACTCAGAATACAGAAATGTCTTATTAGTTATTAAAATTTAGTGGATGATTTCTATAATAAAATGATTAGATAGAAACCATTATAATATTTTAAATTAATAAAAATTTGTAGTAGCAATAAACATGCTCCGCTCTCATGACACACAGTCCTATGTTAATTTCAGAACTCGTAAATGGAAATAGACTAGTCTGGTTATTCTAGTACACAGAATATTTTACAAGAATGTATGTGCTATGTTTTTTAAAAAGACTTATTTTAAGAAAATATCAGAAAGGTTAAACTCTGGTTGAGAAAAATGCTTAGGTTTCAGAGGAAGTCATTATTTTTCCCTCTAAAATGGTTAGATGAGCAAAACTATAAATAAAACTCCAGCATAAACAGTAGGTATACTTTATCAGTGGAATATGCTATTTATCCAGGTGTTCTAACTATTTATAGATTAGAGTGATAATCAGGGCATATTGAAGATTTTGATCAGTATCTAAAAGCAACCAGAAGCCGCTTTCAGGAAAAAGTAGAAACTCCTCAATCTGAAATAGCTCTAGCTAATCAGATGAGTCTATGCCAAAGTTACCTGAACATACACAATTGCCCTCTACATAGTGAGACCACTGGTCCACCTAAGATATGTACTGTTTATTGTGACTGACACTTGAACTCCAGAATCTTAGTCCCAAGCCACCCTTCCTGTACGTAACAGGGACACAATCTTCATATTTCTTATAAATAAAAACTGCAGTTGCCCTCCAAGCTTCCTACTGTAAAGCCATCCAACAGACCAAAGGGAAAGGAATTACTTAACATTTTGTTAAACATAGTTACTTACCTCAACAGAATAATTTGATAAAGCAACCGCCACCATCTGACTATTTGGACAAAAATCACAATACTGAATAGTATAGTGGTGGTTTATAAGGACTTCTGGCAATGAAGTATTGATCTTAGTATCAGTAAGCTGAAAATATAATACACATTTTAAGAGAACAGTAGTAGCCATTTTAGGACAACAATAGTCTTATTAGTCACAGTAAATTGTCAAAATTTGCCAGTTAAATTTAACTGGCAAAGTACTTCTGTCAGTAGAAGGGAGCTGGGGTGCAGAATGAATCGACTTCTTATTCACTTGCAGCACCTCTATTTGTGTGTCCTTAAACTAATGCCTATTCTGGAGGACAAGGAAAAACCACAGAACAGATCTGGGGAGGTGCAGAGAACTACAGGGAGGAGGAGATGACAGTCTTTTCACGCTAACAGCTGCAAGCATGACATTGGATTTGGGTCATAACTGCTGATTACTTTTTTCTTACACTGACTGTCACAGATCAAAGATGGTTCAGATCTTGGATCATTTATGCTGTGACAAATGCTGTCCACCAGCCCAAAAAGGTTCCTATTAAAGACTCACGTACATTCCCTCCACAAATTAAAACTGCATCAACACATTCTGTATAATTTCACACATTCTGTATAATTTCAAGCCTTTTATAGCGTGAAATTATCTCAGCCATTTCAGTTTTAAAACCATAAATGCCATTATAATAAATAATAGACTATTAACAGATTTAACATTCATTAAAGAGGAAAACATTTCTGAATTCTACTACTAATCCTTAAAAGCATACTATTTCTACAAACTATAATTAAAAAGCTGTATTATCAAAGCTCAAATAAAAAGCAATATTATGTCAGTATGAATCCCAAAACAGTTTAAGAATTCAAGTGCAAAATCCCCCAAACAAATTAATCTTAATTTTAACTATAGTTGTTCTGCTTCCTATTCTCATAGAGGTTTTGTAAAAGACTGCTGAAATACTTGGTTTTGCATTTTATGTTACTTTATTTCTTCATTTTTGTTGTGGTTTTGTGTTATATTGTGTTTACTGTATTGATGGGTGTGGCCTCATGTAAGCTGCCCCAAGTCCCCTTGGGGAGATGGTGGCGGGGTACAAATAAAGTTTATTATTATTATTATTATTTCAGGGTTAACATTTCATTTTCTAAACCAAACATACTTTTTTGAAAGGCTAACAATGTTTGCATAACACAACAAGCCAGAGAAAAAGCAGTTTGTAATATTTTATTTCTCTGGCTACTCAAGATAAACAAACCAAATTATCAGATTTGGACATCATGATTGCAAATCATGGATGGATGGCCTGTGGTTTGTTCAGCTGTTCCTGCTGATTTACAGCACTGTGTTGCTTTGTGCCAAATAAACCAGAATTATTTCGAAATCTGACAAATCAGAGGATCCAAATATGCTTGTGAAAATGTTTAAAACATTTTATTCCTTACAAGAGTAGATCCATATAGACATTGAATGAGCTGCTTATTATAAAAATAACATAACTGTACTTGGAATGAGTGCAGATATAGTAATAGTGATATATTTTCATATTTTCACACGCTATATATTTCATATTGTTGAAATCTACTCGCTGAAATGCAGCTCAACATTTTACCAGCAAAAACATAACTGTGGTTAAAAATTATCATATTCAACTTAGGCAATATTTGCTAATCAACTTCACACTCTGGTTAACATTAAATATAGTTAACATTGGTAATGATGTAACACACCATAGTTATTTGTCCTATTTATCAGAGATGGGGGAGCACTGCTTTTGTTGCCTGGGAGTATTGAGCTGGTTGATATAAAAGCCAAATCAGAGAAAGGGATAACAGCTGAAGTGCTACCCTTTTGCTGTTGACAGCTGGAGGTCAGATAATGAGAGGACAACAATTTACCTTTTAAAAAGTCCTGCTATAACATGGGCAACTCCAAGAGGGGGGAAACGGAGTTAGCTAAAAACAGGCAAAAAGTATATCTATCTCTCTGTTTGTGTTTACATGCTCAGAGCACAGGCTATTCCACTGTAATAATTCTTGTCTGAAGAACAGGGCTTGACCGAAGGCAGTGTGCCAGGAGCGGGAAACATGTAGTCTCCCAGTTGTTAATGGATGATAACTTCTATTAGCCCTAGAGACCTGCAGTGCATAAACATCTGCTGGACCAAAGTTCCTCTATCCCTAATCTAGAATCTAGTCTGAGCAGGATTAACAGATTTTTCAGATATGTGTTGTCTCCTCTCACGACTGACTTCCTCCACATTTAAAAATATAGCAGCCCCTTCTAAGGGGAATCAAGTATCAATTGCCAGATAGCATAGCAAAGCCTTTTTCTCCTTCTAAAAAGATAGACTGGATATATAAAAATTTCAAATATATGAAATAACAGTAGAAAAAGGAAAACACTATTAGTGTCATGCTCTTAAATACTTACAAAAAGCTTGTTTTTGGCTGCCACGACTATTGTAGTACTATCAGATGACCATGAACAACATTTCACTAACACTTCCACGTCATCTTGGTATTCATCCACATTTCTGAAGTTGCCTCTTATGTCAACCGTTTTTTGTTTATTTGCTGACTGAGCATACCAAAGCTTTAGATATAGATAAAATAAGAACAGTGAGTTAAGTGTTCTGAAAAGTGAGTGTTAAATTTGTGGTTGGTTTTTTTTTTCATTTTTAAGTTATTTGCAAATACTCAAAGTCAGAAGGAAGCAGTACTTTCATTTATTTATAGGTACAGTATGACCTCCATATCTGTGGGGACAGTATCTGCTGTTTCATTTATCCACGTCCAACAAATTTTGTCCTCTATGCATTTTAGGTCCTCCAGTATGATTCTACAATATTCTTGGGCCTTCATTTCAATAGAGCTCACTATTTTCTGCACTTTCACACATCTATACATAATCAGGAATGTATTCCTTGCAGATACATGGATTATATTGTACTGTATGTTTTCCATGTTAGAAATACATTGATACATGGAAACATGTTAAAATGAGGAAACTAAGTTTATGTTGATCAATTTCTTACACCTAGTTTATCTAGAGCAGTGGTTCCCGGCCTTTTTTTGGCCAGGGACTACTTTGACCAGGGACCATTTGACCAGGGACCACTTTGATCAGGGACAACTCTCCAATATTAGTACCCAAAGGGTTATGAATCAGTTATTGATCAACTTTAGATTTGGTTTGGTTATTTGGGGGTGCTGATTCAGAAAATTGTATTGGATAGACCATATCAGCTCTAGTTTCTGATACAGAACATATGCCATCCAATAGTCGCTATCTGCTCGCCTATAGAAAACCATATTTAATAATCTAGAGCTGATGTCGTCCATCCAAGGGGTCAGAGCTGGTCAGCGAAAGGGAAGGAGTGGCAGCTGGCGTGAAAGGAGAGGAAATAAAATAAAATAAAGAGCAAGGAGGCTCTCGGACCAGATTTTAGTCCTTGTGGTCCACAGGTTAAGAACCACTGATCTAGAGTCTAGAATGAGCTACCTCTAATATTTATCAAATAAAAAACAGAATTATCCTGTTAGTTTTGCTTGGCCATGAATTTTGTGACTGTGCATAAAAGTATATTAAGAAAATAATGGGCATTATGTCAGATACAATGATCTGTGCACATGTAATACTTCAGCATTTGGAACTCCTTTCAGATATGCAGTAAAATCTGGGTGCTGTTCACACTATCGGACTCCACACTGCCATATATTCCAGTTCAAAGCAGAAAATGTGGGATTTTATTCAGCTGTGTGGAAGGGGACTTTGATCTACAAAAATAATTGGCAACCATAGCCTTTTGTTGTGAAAAATCAACTGTACATATTCTTATTACTAGTCTCCTTATGAAGTTGCATTTCTTACAGTGTATAATTTAAAAATACACTGCCATAATGTGTTACTTGCATTTAGTAGCCCTTGAAGCTTTTCCTATTACCGTATTTCTTCAATTGTAAGATGTTATCGATTGTAAGAGGCACTTTAACTTTAGTACCAGTACCACCAACTAAAATACATAAATTATACCTGTGATTCTAAAACACACCCTAATTTTAGAGATGTCTATATAGGAAAAAGTGCATCTCAGAATTGAAGAAATACAGTAGCTATTTATAAATACCGATTATATTTGTACTTTTCAACTTCTCCTTGAAACATGGTAAAAAGACTTCATGGTACTGTAATGTACACTGCAATGTAACTGAAAAAAATCCAACTTTTAAATGCCCTTGCACATAGCTGGAACTTAAACAACTTAGTTGTATGAATAAATTAAATGCAAATAAAGTATTTAATACAACGAGAAGCATTGTTATATTTCTTCACTATGTGTAGTAGAGATATGCACACAGTTCCTACAGTTAGCAGTGGTACAGGGTGAGAAAGAAGCTAAGGGTCAAAGATAATGCATAACTATGGACAGGATGCATGGCTGGAATTTTTATTTTACTTCAAAAGACTAAAACTAGCTTCCAGTACAGAACACAAACAGAAGGTGGTGAATCTGATTTTGAATAGCACAACTGAGGATCTCAACATACCATTAAAGTTCCATCTGCAGAACAACTAGCAATGTATTTATCATTTGGAGAGAACCTGCAGTGAGTAACAGCACTGCTGTGGTCAAATAGTGTATTGCGACAGTATTTTTTATTCAAATCCCAGAGCTGCATTTAAAATGATAGAAAAGAAAATGGGAAACAAAAATATTAAAAATATTGAAGAATCAAGAAGAAAATGGTTAATTCAAATATTTTCCCACAAAATAATCATTGTATGACACAGCAAAAAGAAAAAAATGCAACATCATTTTCACTATAAATAAGTTTTCCCTGATCAAAACACATTTCACTATTCAACATATAAGATTTACAACAGAGTATGGTCAACTGGCACAAAATCCCCATGAAAGTGAAAAAGTGCCAATAAAATATTGTTATTTTTAAGGCTAAGAGAATACTTGTCTAAGAATTTCTAGGTCTTTAGCATGCTTCTATAGTTTGCTTAAATCTTTGTGCCTCTCCTTAGAGTTCACCATCACTATCTAAGTACATCACATTAGATTAGAAGTACAGTAGAGGCTCGCTTATCAACCTTTGCTCATCCAATGTTCTGTATTTTCCAACGCAGCCTGCCTCCCACCTGGATCCACAGCTGTTTCAATACATTGTGATGCTTTGGTGCTAAATTCATAAATATGTTTTTATATGTTTTTTAAAGGTATTAATGTATGTTTTTATAATTCTGTTTTAAATGTTGTTTTTAATTGTATATTGTTGAAGGCATCAAATGGCTGCCTGGCTATAAAGCCAACTTGAGTCACCCTCCGGGTTCAAGAAAGGTGGGGTAGAAAAATCGTAAATAAATAATAAATACAGTAATTATTACATAGCATTACCGTGTACTGAACTGCTTTTTCTGTTGATTTGTTGTAAAACATAATGTTTTGGTGCTTAGTTTGTAAAATTATTATGTAATTTGACGTTAAATAGGTTTTTCTTTAATCCCTCCTTATTATCCAACATTTTCACTTATCCAACGTTCTGCCAGCCCATTTATTTTGGATACGTGAGGCTCTATTGTAATTAAAATGCTCAAAAGTACTGGGCACACTACAAACAGTCAGCGTGAACTTGATAGATTTTTGTGAAGTAAATAAAAAGGGGAAGAAAAACAAGTGCTGAGATGATACCCAGAAGCAGCAACATCCATATGTATGTATTGAAAATATTTCTATCTCACTCTTTTCTGCTGAATGAGATTATCAAGCTTAAGAACAATCATATAAAGCAGTGATTCTTAACCTGTGGGTCCCCAGATGTTTTGGCCTTCAACTCCCAGAAATCTGAGACATACATATTATTGTTGAATGGTAACCAAGAAGTCACAGCTTCTAATCAGGAAAGGTTCATACATTTCTGCTTCATTGTGGTTTATCATGTAATCCAGACCAGGACTTCTAAAACTTTTTCCACTTGTAACTCCTGTCTGCTTGGAGATTTTTTGCATGACCCCAGGTATGTATGTAGAAATGTAAAATACATTTAAAAATCAACTTTTTCTATTTTTGCAGAGTCCACTGTAAACACTGCATGTTGTTGCTAACAGATTTGTGTAAATGTCTAAAACAATCATTGGGTGAAATTCAGAAACCTTTTATTTTTTGCCACCCTACAGTTTAAGAAACAGTGATCTAGACCAACCAACTGTAACTAATATTAACCTAGGTTCAGTTAGAAAAAGGCAGTTTCATTCCATAATTACTAAAGTTAGTTTGCTCAAAAATAACAGCACATTATTGATCAGAATTCTAATTCTATATAACACAAATTAAAGTAAAGGATGAGATTTCAAAAGACCTAAAAAGAAAAGAGCATGAAATGAGCAGGTTTTGCAGCTTGTTCCAGGTCATTCACACTGTGCTAAATTCTAAGAATGAAAACTTAGTGTACATTTCATCACTAGAAATCCACAGTCTGGGTATCACTGTTCTTAGATATACTTTAGTTGCCCTTTCCACACTGCAAAAAAAAAAAAATAGCAAATGAAGCAGAATCTCTCTAACAAACAATAAGAGTGGGACAGCTCATGCAGGAGGTATTTTGCTCACAAATCATTTACTGGAAAATTATCCACAACAAGACCCATAGGAATATTTAACAGTGGTCTATAAAAAACAGGGTCCAAGTATAATAGAATATTAATATCTTCTGCAGAAAGCCTGAAGCAGAAGAGAAATTGATATAAAGAAGCCCTAATCCCACTCATATTCTAGCAAAGAGAGTTCACATACAGTACTCGTGTGGCCTCCAGTGGCTAGGACTAGGAACAACAGACTGTTATTTATTTGTTCAGTCGCTGAACAACAGACTACAGATAGTAAATTCACAGAGCTCAGATAAAATTTTATTAATGCTTTGACTATCACAAAATACTTAGAATCCTAATTACAGCTGTAAAATGAATGTGAATATTAATTTATACTTACTTTGATAAAACTGTCATTTGAACAAGTAACTAACAGAAACTGGTTATGATTTGTATTGCTAAACTGACAGCAGTTGACCTGCTCTGTATGTTCTTCAAATACGCACACAAGTTGACCTGTTCGTGAATTCCAGACCTAAAATAATTTCATACAACAATTAGACACATTCCTCCATGCAATACATGTTCTGTGATTTTTACTTTTTAACCATGGCAGAAATTAATTTGAAATACTGATTCATATCATGGAAGTCTTTGTGATCTGGGTAACCAAAAACTGTATTAAGGAAGATGAAAAGCAGCATAGCTGTACTAAATGCAGATAACTCCAAACAAGACTTATTTTTTTCATTATGCAAAGAAACCAGGCATTATAGACAAAGTTACTGCAATTTATACTATATGAAGTTTATCTGGAACTGATAATTTGGCCAGTCCATTAACACGAGTAGAATCATAAATATCTTTCACTAAAAAGGAACTGATAGGATGTGACAGAAAAGACCGCTAGTTGTGACCCTGGGGAGTCATTTCTCTGAGTAATCACTGCCAGACTACATTGGTAAATATCCTGTTCTTACTGGAAAAAACTCACAAATGAAAAAGATTACTGAGTTCAGTGAAGAGAAAAATGTTATTCAGGATACACAACTATCCATTTCCTCAGAATCTATCTCGGAGACTACTTATTCATTTTCCCCCAAAGAGCTTTCTGGGGGCTATGGGAGTGTTTAGAAAAGTCAAAATGTATACAGTAAACAAAATTATACACTAAAATACAAACAGAATTCACTTTATAATACAATGCAAAGTCATGCAGCTGTAAAGGAAAGCATTTTTGCTAATGGCTTGGAATCATATCTGTTGGAAAGGATTGTGATGGATTTAGGCAATTGACTCAATCACTGGCACAGCCTTGAAGAGCAGGGAGTAACCTTGAGGCAGTTAGCATTATTTGGCCTAACCTACCTCACGGAGCACTTCTAAAAGTTAAATCAAGCTGAAGGAGAAAGGAACCATGCATTACCCCCAACATCCTTGAAAAATATACTAAATGTCAGGTTAATTTATATGGCTGTTGGATTTAGTTTAACTGATCATCTAAAAAGTTTACTATTTTAAGTAGGATGATATATCTATGTTGGAAAATAACACAAATTATAGCAATCCCCAAAAGTATCAGAGATCTTACTCAATGTTTCATCTTACTGACCTATAAGTTTACTGATTTTTACAGCTGCCTATTAACCCTATAATGGAATATTCTCTAATCAGTTTTGAAATATATACATATATTAATCACTACGAAAGGCACAGCAAAAATACAGGATTGATTTCAAATTTATTATACCATTAGGAGATCCAGTCATGGGGAAAGCCCTTCCTGAATACAGCAGCAAGTTTGGATCTGACACCTCAAAGTAATTAAATTTTATTAGGCTGTAAGCCCATGCAAACACACCTGGGACTAGTAGACACTGAACTCATTGGGATTTATTTCTGAGTAGATATGTACATGAGAACACTGTTAATTTTTCAAGTTATTTAAATTTATTAGGGTCAATTTATTAGGGTACCATCATATACTTACTTTTACTTTTCTGTCAGCAGAACAAGTAGCAACAAATCTGTCATCTGCTGAAAAGGAACAACACCGTACTTCATCATCATGAGCTTTTACTTCCAGAAGCTTTTCTCCACTTTCAGCTTTAAATATCTAAAATAAATGTAACAAAATGTACATAAAGCATATTCTTAAAATAGCTCACAGTTTAAGTATAACACAATATATATATTTGATAGCTCTCTGCAACTGAACTTTTATTGGTTCATTTTACTAACACAAAAATAAATGATGGAGGAAATAGAATCAATTTTCCAACAAAACCTGGCAATATTAAATGAAAACGTACATTCCAGAGCCCAAAACTAACACCATCAATTAATAACTAAAGGTCTGGGGTGAATGAAAGTTAAAATATTTATAACATAGAGAGAAAAATTAATAATCTGTGTTAGAGAGAAAACTGTTCAAGCAGCAAGGGTTATGTGAAAACCTACCATGAGATGGAAGACTGCAGCTGATATGCATACAATGACTTAAATATAATTAGCATCAAGTGTCAAAGCTTAAAAATTAGCATATTCAAAAAATGTCCCTGCATGAATGCTATATCCATAAAATTGGTCATATTAGTCTCCTGTAGCAAGAAGAGTCTTATGAACAACTTCAAAAACAGAAAAATTCATTATGGAATAATCTTTTGTAGAATGCTCTTCACAAATATCCTAGTGATGTGCATTATACTAATGTATAACATAAATGTTATGAAAGTGATTATTATCTTGCAATTTAAACTGATGTTTGTATGTAGCTTCAAGTTGCCTGTGGACCTACAGCAATACATAGTGCTGTATAGACAAGGAATACTCGGAGATGGATAGATTGGCCTAATCCAATTGTTACTTTCAACAACAGTATATCTATTAAATCAAGGGAACTTATATGAACGTTAATTAATTATTCAATAATTATTCTGAAGCAACTACTCTAACCTGACCAGAAGTCAGATAGATCCCAAGTCTAGAAAATTTAGTCAAAAAATCAACTGGATTGACTTATTCATGGGTTGTATCAAAAAAGGAACCATCCCCTTTTCTGAGGAGAGTTATGAAAGGTAGGCAGTTACTTCACTCCAAGAGGATCCAAAAGAAGCATCATCCTCTTTTTACTCTTTCCATAATGGCACAACTTTTGGCATTCCTAAATGCTTTGTGGAAAAAGGTGATGGCAGCGCCCGGCCAGGGGATGGGGGTGGGGCTGGCTCTGAGGTAGCATTGCTGATTTTGATGTTAATTAAGACACTGTGAGTCTCAGAATCTTTTTCTTCTCTCCTTTGCATAAGAAGTGTGAAAGTTCTGCTTCTACATGCAGCAAGCCATAGTTTACTGTTCTTTCTGGAAGAGTCCTAATTTATTGAAACTGACAAAATGACAAACCATGGCACTATCGGTCAAGAGATATTGCACAACTCCTTTCTTAATAGCTTGTCAGGGAAGAATAAAAAAGATCTGGGAGAGAGAAAACAGCAGCATGAAAACAGCAGGGGAGTTTCAACCTGGAGACAAGAGTATCTTGACTACCTATAAAATTTGTGAATGAAGGAGGACAACTGCATAATCAAAGTTTTGTCTAGAATAGATGCACTCTCTAGAATAGATGCACTCTCTAAGACTCAGCAGCACTAAATGTATTCTAAATCAAAACATTATAATTGTCAATATGGCTTTTGTGGTGGTTGTACTATATATTACCTGCAATGTTTTGTCAGCTCCGCATGAAGCTATTCTGTGTCTGTCTTGGGAAAAACAAGCATGATAGACAGCATCTGTGTGTGGACGCACAACCAGACGATAAGTATTCTTCATGGACTGCTTATTCCTGCATTATAGAAGAACAAAAATTGTACATTCACTGTTTTTTATTTCAGATTCCTGTCAGCAAGTGGTCTCTGAATATATTAGAATTTCATAATTCCTTATCAAATGATACAATTTAAATGGTAAAAAATAATAGAAAATGATTTGAATGCCCAAATCTTTTCTACTTTTAACAATACTGCATATAAATACTCGTTTCTAAAGTGGGTGAAGTAAACAAGACATCCATATAGCATTCATGTAACAGCACTTAGCTTCCTACATTACTCGTGCTTATTCTCTTACCTCAGGCTGCTGGGATTTGCATCCAGAGTACTGTATTATTCCACTCATGCTCTAAGAGACTGAAGCTAAGTGCTTTTGGAAATGCTTCAGTTGTTTTCTTTGCTTTAAAATAATTTTATATTATTATTGGACAATGGCATCTTAAGCTTTAGGAGCTTTCAAAGGTTCTCTCAAAGTATAATTCTCTTTTCGGTTGATTCAGTCACCACTAATGTATTTCACAAAACAATGGTGATCTGATATACATTTGACCTTCAAATCCAAATCTGAAGTCATTTTCAACACGATTAAATATACTCTGAATGAAGACTTTGGAGTCTTATGTTTTGGCCAGTAAGTATGGACTACATTGAAACTCACAAGCGGTGACAACAAAAATATTAAAATACAGATACTTCCTTTCAAAAGTCATCCTAAAAATAACCCCGATTGTTTTAATTAAAACCTGTTTTTCTGCCATTCATAGGACACTCCTTCTGGTAATGAAGGAGAAGACATATGAGTAGCCAATCACCACACAGGATATACATACATAAATAAACCATAATTTTAAAAAACCCTCCTTTTTCACATTGTTAAGCCGAGTATACATAAAAGTTTATCTCACTGAATTGGGATCAATAAGAACACCAATGATTCAAAGTAAGGTTATTGTTGCTTTAGATATGTTCTGTGTAAAAAATGCATTTGCTTACATCCATTCCACATAAAAGGATCCTTTATCAAGTCTTTGCTGAGCTTGTAGTTTCGCTTGTTGATATACTTTTGAACTCTCTGGTTGACAAAGGCCCAGCTGCACAATGTCCAAAGATGGCTGTCGTCCAAGCAGGTGTCCGTTTAAAGATAAAAATTCCTGGAAGTTTTCACGTGCAATGGGATCCTGAAAACAATAAATATAAATGAAGCTGTGATGAAATACTATTATTTTCATGTTATATATATTTTTCATTTAGAACAGGAGTGAGAGCATGCTCCATTAGCTGAATGCAGCCTCCAATCTCTTATTTGCAGCCCTACCATCTCCCAAATCTAAAGCCCCTCTTTCCATCCCTTGAAAAAAAGAACAAACCATCTTATTTTATTTTAACTTATTTAAATACCAACTATAACCCAATACAGGACTTAAAGCAGCTTTTTAAAAAGAAAGTGCAACTCAGCAAAACTAAGATATTAGTGCAAAAATGTAAAACATGAAAAATGCCACTAAAACAACAAGTTAATACAGTTTAAAACATATTTCATGAAAATATGAAAACAGTGCACTCCTTTGAAGTTCCTTTCTTCACAACAAGCTAAAAGTTAAATTAAAATGTGGACTAAATGCCTTCCAACCTCTAATTTCCTCTCCAAAGGTCTCAAATACGTTGGATGATCCTAAAAGTATCAACCAAATAACTTCTTATTGCAAATTTGGCCAATCAAGGGTTGAAAACAAGGGCAACAACAGTGAGAATCTGAAGAGATCTCATGTCTTCCAGCTTCCTTCCCAGGAGAAGAGACTCCCTGTCACTCAGTACAGTCCCTAAGTCAGGTCATAGTATCATAGAGTTGAAAAAGGCCACATGAGCCATCTAGTCCAACCCCCTGCCATGCAAGAAAAGCACATTCAAAGCACCCCTGACTTCAACAAGGCCACAGTTCAATTTTTGCACATGTAGTGGGTCACCCATTTTCTCTCTCTTCCTTGTGGTGCCTTTCATTCTGCTAAAATGGACTAAAATTTGGGAGCAGGAATTCCTTGATTTATTTTGCAAAGAAATCTTCCATGCACACATATATTGTATCATGCTAATTCCACTATAACAAGACCAGGTAATACTAATACAGGTTGGGTGTGAGCAAATGTAGCTAATCAGAAACAGGACAATCATCATCCTTCCACTTTATACTGTTAAATCAGTTATGAATTATATCCATAATTGTTATATCATAATTTTCAAATATAAAGATAATCAAATATAAAGTATTATCTGTTAAAAATATGACAACATTCAGACTATTATCTATTTTCAGACTATGAACCACACCAAGACTTAGGGTGCATCTACACTATAGAATGAATGCAGTTTGATACCACTTCACTACCATGACTCAATGCAATTTATCAAGGGAAGTTTTGCAAGGCCTTTAGCCTTCTCTGCCAAAGAGTGCTGGTGCCTCACCAAACTACAACTCCCATAATTGCAAAGCACTGAGACAGGGCAGTTAAAGCGGTGCCAAACTGCATTCATTCCACAGCGGAAATAAACGCTTGGGATGAGTTAACACAGAAAAATTATTTATTTTCTTAAATAGTCACTATACTACTACATCTTTTCTCCCGAGTCACCTGAAATCATGCAGTATCATACCATACCTTTTCATTCAATATTTCACTGTATTCAACATATTCATGAATCAAATGTGCAGGTCCTACCAATTCTGTTTTGGTTTTAATCCAATCTAGTGAAAACATGAGAGCACAGAGTTCCTATGAGAGAAAAAGATAAAGAAAAAAAATCATATTTATTATTATTTTGACTTGTTATGATGAACTTTCCTTATAGTAGAATATTCTAGAATCTCCCACAAACTGAAGACAGCATGAAAGACTGCAAATTACATATTAAGTAACATTTCACTTAATATGACTGCGCGCTTACATTTTTTCACACTCGACTTCTCACAAGAAGATTTAAGCATATTCACAGAATATAAGCAAGATGTTACAGATTGAGTATCCCCTATCTAAAATGTTTGGAAAATATTTTGAAATTTTCATATTTTGGAATATTTGCATAATGAGGTATCTTATGGGTGGGTTCCAAGTTTAAACACAAAATTCATTTATGTTTTATAAACACCTTATAAACACAGCTTGAAGGTAATTGTATACACAATATTTAATAATTCAGAGCATGCAATAAAATATGTGTATATTAAAGCATTAAAAAGCGAAGGTGTCATTATCTCAGCCAGCCGAATGGACAATTTTGGGTTTTGGAACATTTAGGATTTCTGGTTAAGGGATAGCTAAATTGTATCACAATTTAGCATATATATTAACAGTTGTTCATCCTAGTGCATTGGATCATGAAAGCTATGTAGAGGATTAAATGCAAAACAACTTGAACATCTAGAAGCAAAGACTCCCCTAATTTTAAGCTTTTTTTACAAAGTTTCAAAAAGAGAGAGAGAGAAAGAAGGAAAGAAAGAAAATATCCCAGAAAAGTTATATTACTGTACATGCAGTAGTGCACAGCAATGGAAGAACATCTTCAGTGTAAACTTACATCGTGCATGTTAGCACTTGACATATGGTAAGCGAGAAAATTATACCAATACATCCAATCTTCCTGAGTTGAATTTGGCATATACTGTGCATAGTGGTTCTTGTATTGGTGGACTACTTTTTTATGTAGTGCCTATAAAAATAAAATGTTTATTATTACAGTAGAATATGGATTTGCTTTTCCATGTAACAAAGGAATTTGGGTAGATTTAGAAAGCTCATATAAATGTTTTTACTCCAGCTGATCACTTTTTGGATCAAAAAAAAGCTTCCATGGACATGGCTGACTAAAAGTAAAACTAATTAATATGGAAAGTATGTGAACAAACACAGTCACTGTGAATTTTTTAATTATTTTAACAGCAGATACCAGGAACAGAGGTGATAATAAAGGCTGGTAACACCACACTTGGAAAGGACAATTACCCTCTTGCTGCAGTCTGCAAGAAGATACCAAAACTTAACCAAAGCTGTCCCTGCCCCATGTTCAACACAAGGATGCACACAATAGCATCCAAAAGAGCTCTTCCCAGCTCATTCCAGTATTGTAAACAACCTGTTAAAGTGTGTATGGGGGGGGGGGGGAGTAATGAAGGAAAAATTATAACGAGTCCCAACATTAAACTAATAGAAGATTGAGCTTCAATACTGTTTATTTTTCTACAAAATCTTTTGACCCATTTGCCTATTTTTATGAAAAGGATACACTAAACTCATTATGCAAAGATGTCACTGTATCTTACAGAAACCTTTTCATAAACCACACTTTCTATTTTAGAAAAAAATTGAAGAATTAATTTTATATGCTCAATTCATAGCAATTACAAAGAGATTCCTTTTTAAAAAAAACCTTCATTCTGTTCTAGTAGTGAGAAGCATGCAGGCTATTATGTCATAAAAGGAATTTGTTGATGACGTAAAGCAGAGTTTCTCAAACTCTGTTCCTCCAGATGTTTTGGACATCAGCTCCCACAATTCCTAACAGCTAGTAAGGTGCCTAGGATTTCTGGGAGCTGACTTCCAAAACACCTGAAGAAGCAGGGGTTGAGAAACACTGCTATAAAAAAATGCTAGTGCAACAAAAGTTCTGTGTGCAGAATCAAAATAATATTAAAAGTGGAACATTAAATTGCAGTCAGCCCTATTACTATCAACCACTTGTAGTGTAAACAAGACATTTTCCATAGTCTCTAAAAACAATTATGTGGATCACTAGAAATTAAAATGCATACTTGCAGCTGACCACGATTCTTCTCAGTAAGAAAATCAAGTTGAAGATCATGCAAATAATAATGGAATGATTTCCCATTTCGATCACAGAACAGGAGAGATTTATTAACAAATTCTTGTAGTATGTCTTCAGCTTCTTCAGTCTCCATATCCCAAAGAACACAGAAAACCTACAATGGATTTGGAAACAAAGAATTACTAAAGATTGGTGCCATATATATTCATATAAAAGTTGATCTGTATAAGTTGAGGGCAGGTATGGGGCCAAAGTTATGCATTTTGCTATGGCCTGTAGATAAGTTGTTGGTAAAATGTAGAGTCAGGCAACAAACAAATATTTCCCTTTCCCTTTTAAAAATGCACAGAGGGTATGTATATAGGAAGAACTAAAAAAGAGAGAAAAGGATCTATTTATTTGAGGGATGGTATGTGCCAACTGCATTGCTGATCTTAAAATATCTACATATCTATAAATAGAGATAAGGAAAGAAATATAAAGAAAAAGAACAAGAATGCGGCTTTTTAAAAAAGGAGATGGAGGAGAAGTACAAGAAAAGCAACCTCCCTCTATTAGGGACCCAGGCAAAGGCAATCACAAGAGGAAGACAAGAAGCGCCCACCAACTTATACCTCCTTGCCCAAACCAGAGAAAGGCAGCTGTTCCTTCTTCGTCTTTTTTCCCCCGAGTGGCATTTAACATCTATGTGGGAGTACTTGAAGAATGCATTGCACTTACCATTACTGCTTAAGATAGAGAGGAACTGCAGCGGACATTTTTAATTAGAGCTGACTGCATAAGCTTCTCTGCTGAGACTACAGTGGCCATTTTTAATAGGGCCCTGTCTTTGAGAATTCTACAAGCAAATGGCTATCTTTGCTCTGGATTCCTATTCCAGTACTGTGTGTAAGTTGACCTAGGTTTTCTAGATCTATTTTTGTCAAAAATGTTTCATTGTATATATACATGATTATATGTGCCTAAATGTAAATTAATACAATTCATAGGTACTCAAAGAAACTCTAAGAAATCTAGTTTAGCTTCCATTTTTAGTTGGCAGCATTCAGTTAGCACTCACACAAGGGAAATTTTCCTTCTGAACAAAGCCCTCCATTTATTTTGTGATCCTCAGAAAAGACCTGAAACATAGGAAAAGCAAATAACATAGGCAAAACTCTTTTTACAGGCTGCCTTAACATTTTCTCTTTTCCTCTAAAGTCACTGATATAAGTTCACATTTCAGACTTTTTCCTACTTAGTTTCCAGAAGCATCTTTCAAGAGTCACAGAGAACTACAATAAAGAGGAGTTTCCTTTGTACAAATGTCTATGTACAATTACTTCACTGGGTGACACTCACAGTAAACAAGACAGAGAAATTCAAACAATCTTCAGGGTTATAAATCTCTATATATTCCTTAAGAATTTATATAATTAATGGTTACCAGAAATCAGGACATACAGAGGGGGATGAAGCTGTACAAGCATCTCTTTAGGTTGGAGTTGTCACCTTTTAACCAACTCTGAAAGTTAAATAATGTGTATCATCTAGAAAGTAAAAAGGCAGGCACTGCCCAAAAAGGTATTTGAGATATACATTCATTCACAGAGGGCCTTTCTACACTGACATATAATCCAAAATATCAAGGCAGATAATCCACATTACCTGTTTTGAACTGGATTATTTCAGTCTACACTCTCATATAATCCACTTTAAAGCAGATAATCAGGATTTTATACAGATGTAGAAGGGCCCTGAGATTCAGAGACTAAGGTAAACCATAACTACCATATCAATAAGAGAAATAAATAAGAAATATAGTTAAGGATGGGGCAGTCTTAAAGGATACTCCTAATTACAGCATTAATGTGATTCTATATGGCTTAGAAAATAAGATTCCTATAGAACTAGATTACTGCAAAACATCATGGCAGCCATTTGCTTTTAGAATTCCCAATTCTTCTAGAATTCCCTGCACTTTGAAACTAGTACTGACTTAAAACAAATTTTACCTTTGAAGGCACTTTAACGTCCTTTTGAAGGACAGAAAGGTCTCTGTAATAATCTTTAAAATTTTCTGGCAACATTTCAACACTTATGGACATTGCTTCATCAAGTGCTTCATAATCATAAGATGAAGATTTCTTTATTCTTCTGAACTGCTTGTTTTGAAGTTGTCTAAGATAGTATTCCCAGCGATTGGGGAAATCTCGTAATAATGCTCCTATTAAAGATACCACAAGAGGAGAACCTAGAACACAGGAATTAATAGTTTAAAACATGAAATGAAAAAATTAAAAATGGTCAAAAGGAGGAAGCCAGTTGTGTTAGGGTGAAGTAGCTACTGAAAAAATCCAAAAACAGCTCTTACCTCTATTAAAAATGTCAAGAGCACAAAATACAAGGAAAATTCAATATATTTAACCAATAAGTTTATCCTAAAACAAAAGGCCCAAACATGTTTTATCTTACAACCAATGCACTTGTTATCCAAGAAGCAAGGGAAGGTTTCAGATTTCCCCAATCAACGTCAATCTACACATCTTATGAAACTTTGAATATTTCAAAAAATTACGTGATTGTCTTCTATCACTTGTACATCCCTTTCTTTTCTGGTACAGGTTAATTATCCCTTTTCTAAAATGCTTGGGACCAGAAGTGTTTGTTTTTTTTCCAGATTTTGGAATATATGTATTTAAATATATCTACATAATGAATTACCTAAGAGATGGGACCTGAGTCTAAACACAAAATTTGTTTACATTTCATATACACTTTATAAACATAGCCTAAAGGTAATTATACAATATTTTAATAATTTTGTACATGGAACAACATTTGTGTACATTGAACCATCAGAAAGCAAAAGTGTTCCCCTTGTGAATAATTTTGTATTTTGGGGTATTATGACATTCCAGATAAAGAATGCTCAACTTGAACTGGGTTTTGCAGAGGAAGGGAGAATAAAATAAGTTAACTGCAAAAGAATATGAAGAAAACCTGTGGGTGCCAAATTCATGTTTAGAAAAAAAAGATGCCTGGTTAAGAGAGACAGACAAGGAAAAATGTTGGAAAAGGTACAAAGGATGAGTGACTAACAGCATTATAGCTATCTATGTTCATGCTCAGAAGAAAGGAAGTATATTTCTAAGTTTAAAAAAATAGCAAAATAACAAGACAATTCCTTAAAGCTGTTGTAATTTTCTATTTTTTTAAAAAAAAAAATCTCGATGAATTGTTCCATGTCTAGATCAAGAGAGACAAAAATAGTTTAAAATAGTTAAACTCCAAATTGGCATTTATGAAATTACATGTTATTTTTGACAGGAAAAACAACATAAAATCAAATTAAAATTTTTACCTTTGCATTCTTTTACAATCCAATCAGCTTTCTCTGGTAGCTCTGTTATTTCCATGTTAACAAATAGGGATAATATTTCAAGTGCTTTTTCATGTGATAGTCCGCTTTCCACTGGAACTTCGTATTTCTTGCCTGAGTTTAACATTAGTATTCAATTTTGGGTGGAAAATAGTCAAATAGTCATTTATATAGCACTTCAGAGTTTACATGTCAAGCTTGGTTAATTCATTTTGTACCTTGCTACAGTTTTAGAAAATCTGTATTATCAATTGTATTAAAATATTTTTGATCATCCACAGAAACAAAATGTACATTAATATTCTTGTGTGTGTAAGTTATTGAAGAAAAGTGAGTAGATCTGCCTATTATATCAATTGAAATTTACATGCTCTGCAGAATATGTATACTGAACTAATTAAGACCTGCATGAAAAATGACAAAACTGATGAATCCAGGGATCCCCAGTTGCATTAAGAATTTTCCGCCAGAAACTAGACTGGGCTTCATGGAAACTAGAAACTCCAGAATTCCACAGAATGTTGCTAGGGAAGTTAAAGTGGAACAGTTTATTGTGATAAGGGTCTCAGTTCAAAGCTTTTCCACAACAGGCAAAAGGAGTTGCCAAATGCTTGCTTGAATAAAGAAGTATTTGCCTACAAGTAAAAAGGAAATTATATGGGATTCTTGAACATAGCTGTGAATCCCTAAGAAAGCCTAGCAAAGGTTTCAGTCTTTCCATTAGGGATTCAATGCCCTTAGTGATGTTTGTCTTTTTTGTGCGTAAACCGTCCTGAGTTCCCTCAGGGAGAGAGGACAGTCTATAAATCAAGTTTTATTATATTGTATCAAATACATACAAAATAGTACCTGAAATCTTTTTGTATAATTTAACTGTAGCATTGTTAAGACTTTTGTCTTCTTCCTAACGTTGTGTTCTATATACCTAACAAATATTTCAAACTATTTTTCAAGGACCACAATTTTTCTCTTTTGTACAATGGGTACATCATCACTGGTTCTTCAGTGTTAACAGTTAACCATGACAACACGTCACCCTACCATGTACATATCATATATGAAAACAAGTAAAACAGGATTTAAAAATATATGGATTTTAAAACAAGGTCTTTAAAAAATACCCAATCCTTACCAGTTACTGAATCTGTTACACTCCTGTCCCTACTGGTGAGAAGAACCTGGAAATGACTATCAAAGGCTTTTAATACCCATGAATCCCAAATGTCATCCAGAACCAACAGAGACCTATTATATATAAAAAAAGAAATAATGGCAAGCATGATTTTTGGCTAACTTATCAACATGTTAAAAACAAAATGTTAATGCTCAGCTTTTTCATTTGGGGGAAATCTGTTATCTGGGACAATGTCTAAGACTTTTGCTGGCTGCAGCAGTTCTACATACTACTGCAGTGGTTTGAGAACTGGATTAGTGCTCTGGGAGGCCAGAGTTTTGATTTACACCTAATCATAGAAACTATGGGCCCTTCCACACAGCCATATAATCCAGAATATCAAGGCAGAAAATCCCACAACATTTACTTTGAAGTGAGTTATCTGAGTCCACACTGCCATATATTCCAGTTCAAAGCAGAAAATGTGGGATTTTATTCAGCTGTGTGGAAACAACCTCGGTTCAAAGCAGATATTGTGGGATTTGCTGCCTTGATATTCTGGGTTATATGGCTGTGTGGAAGGGCCCTTACTGGGTGAATTTGGGCAAACCACAATCTTCCAGCCTGAGAGGAAGGCAATGGTAGACTTTCTTTAAACAAATCTTGCCCAGAAAAGCTAAGACAGAGAAGAACAGCTTCACCGTGCCTAGGTCCAAAAGCAGATGAAAGGAGCAGTTTTCCCAATGGACACTGCTGTAATGCATTTGTGAAGTTCTGAAATCCTTCCTACATATATTCCGCTTAAAAATAGCTTTAGCATGTGCTTCAATAATTTAAATATTTATAATGAATTTAACACAGCAACTATTTTTCTCTTATCCCCTTATTTCCATTCCCCACTTCTTCAAAATGTCAACTTTAACCGCCCTGACATCCCTTCCATGGCATTTTCCCATCTTCCATGTTAACAGTGACATTAACATAATACCTCACTCCCACCAGATAACTCTGCATTAGGTTCACTTGATGACATAATTCTAGTCAAATAGTTTTTACTGCTCTGTTCTACTGACAGTACCTTGGATATTTGCGAAACAACAACACCCGAAGGCGATCCTTTGCTTCCTCAATATTAAGTGGTGGCCTCTGCAAATAAGTGGAGTCCTGGTCCAACCTCAGACACAGATTTTGGAGTTTCATCAACAGGCCTGCCTTGTCTTGTTTCCCAATAGAAACCCAATGTACTCCTCCTGGGAAGCAGTCTAATCAAAATATAAGCAGGTATAGTTTTGTACAGTTAATACACCAAACTACTGAGAAAAGCATGTATTACTAGCTGAACAGAATAATGTGTGGGGTTTATTAAAATAATAATAATAATAATAATAATAATAATAATAATAATAATAGCTTTATTTTTGTACCCTGCCTCCATCTCCCCGAAGGGACTCGGGGTGGCTTACATGGGGACAAGCCCAAGTTAAAATATAACACAACAAAATTCATAAAAACAATTCCAAGCAGTATAAAAACAACCACACAAAGTACAATATAAAACAAACATCTAACAACCATTAGTGGTCTTAGTAATGCAAGTTCTGATGCAGTTGTTTTGTTTTTGGTTTTGTTTTGTTTTTTGCCTTGAGGCAAAAAATAAAACTACGTTGTTTAGTTGCTTGTTTCTTCATATTATAACTTGTATAACTAACGTTTGTTATATTATTCAAACGTTTGTTATATTATTCACACATATTAATTTATTCTCTCTTTCATTAGTTTATATAAGAGACACTTTGAGGCCCAATCAGGAGAGAAGCAGGATATAAATCAAATAAATACATAAATATTGAAACTGATTTGGGCAAGCTATGCTTATCATAATATTTCAGTATAACATTATTTGGAATCAATCCTAAATCCAGTTTGCATTTTCAGTTTCAGTTCTCATGTATGGCTTGCAGGAAACATCTATATAACTAATACAATGCAGCCAGTAATACCTTTCAAAAGATTGTGGTCACGGAGTGTGTCTGCTGCCAAAACGGTCTTTCCACAACCTGCCATGCCATAAATAACAACCCATCCTGGATCACTTTTCAGCTTATATAGTTTTCGCTGTATTCTTTTTGTGAATTCTGGACGAGTGACAAATACAACTGGCCGCTGTGGAACTCCACCTTCACAAAGTATGGTCTTAACTTAAAATTAACAAAACAAACAAAGGAAAGATAAAAAATAGAACTAACATAAAATCATTATCTCAAGATTAGCAGGTTCTTGACTTAAAATATATTAAGAACTATAGCCACAGCCCAAATAAATAAACTGACACATTTTCTTAACATTCTTCTATTTAAACAGCCAGTAAGACCAAACTTCCAACTATTGATCAACTGCATATTTCAGAAGCCTTCCTAGACAGCATAGCTATCATAGCTAATAGTGAGAAATGCTGAGTGTTGCATCCCAAAAATATCTGGAAGTTATCACAACTACCGCTGCTTTAAAGTAACCAAGGGCAACACTCATCAACTGTCTGGCAAAGAGATAATAATCTTTGTGAGAAAAGTAATACAGCAATGTTCCCCATTTTAAAAAGCAGCTAAATTCCAACCTTGTCTAAAGAACCATAGGGATGTTGCAACATGGATTCCTGACCAAGTAGGGATAAAAAATGAAATCCTAGCTATATGTGGCTATAGCAGTCAGATGTATATACTGTTTTAAAGATCCAAGTAGATGAAGTACAATTTTACATGCAAAAACAAATTCAAAAGAGATAGAACAAACTGGTCATAGTATCAGTAGCAAAGCACTGCTTGGGAATACTATGGCAATATTTTTTAGGATATGGCACAATATCTTTACTCAAAGCTATTCCTTACAGCAAAATGTATATACTGTTCCCGGGGAGGAGAGAGAGGGAGGAAAAATGAGGAGAAATGATGTAAACATGTGTTACTAATGAAAAATGTTTTGAAAGTTTGTATAATTTTGTGTAGAACTATTCACAATAATTCTGGAAAAAAACTTGTAATTAAGATGGGAAATTTACAATATTTCAGAATATTTTGACCAAATGAACTAAACCTGTTCACATTCAAGATGAGAGGACTTTAGATTGTTTTGAGAGTATTTACTAACATTACTAATTTCCTCTCATGAATGCATTTATTAAAATATTGTTAACCTGTTAAAAAAATGAAAAAAAAACTGGATTAAAAAAGCATCACAGTTAAAAAAAACATTATGTTCAGGGAGCCAAAGGAAGTACAAATAGTAGTGTTATGCTACAGGACTTCAAATTTGTTATTTCAGTCACAAATTAAAACATTTTGCTTTAATGCAATGAGCAACAGTTTGTGATACTGACCATAGGATGTTACTCCATCTGTAGACTTATTTCCATTACAAGGGGAAATAATTGGGATGCCGTCTTGGAGAAGGGCAGCAAGATCTTTGTATCCCTCATGAACCAGAGCATTATAAAATGATATATATGCATGATCATCTTTCTCAAGAATTGTTTTTATAAGTTTAGCTGCTCGGTCCCTTTGAGTAGTCTAATAAGAAAAAAGGAGAAAACAATACATCTGATACACTGGACACACGTGTGAGTCAGTATTTTAAGTCCTTCTGAGTTTTCTGTATATTAAAAATTTTCCCATTTGAATAAAAGAATTGAGTTTTCCTAAAATGTGCCTGGTTATGTCAACCAACAAAACACAATTGATAGTTTGCTTGGGAAACATTCTGGATTAGATTACGAGAAGAATTCACTTACAAAAATGTGTATGACAACCCAATGCTATATTAATAAAAAATAATAAAACTTTATTTGTACCCCGCTACCATCTCCCCAAGGGACTTGGTGCGGCTTACATGAGGTCGAACCCACAATACAACGGTAAAAACAATAACAACAGTAATGCAAAACAATAAATAAAACTCATAAGCAGAAAATAAGGAATAAACATTAACAATAACACAACGACGTTTTAAAACATATGGCTGGGCCAAATGTAATAATTAAAAATTTAAAAATAATGCTGAGCATGACCAGGTGAAATATAACTAGGATAGAATTTTCGGAGAGGGATAGGGCGTGCAGACAATCCTAGATCACTAATAAAGTGTATTTAGGGACATATTACTGGAAGTTTCCTTATTCTGGGAAGGCACACTGGAACAACCACGTTTTCAGGCTCCTCCTAAAGACTGCCAGAGTTGGGGCATGACTGATGTCCTTGGGGAGTGAGTTCCAGAGTCAGGGGGCCACCACCGAGAAGGCCCTCTCCCTCATCCCCACCAATCGCGCCTGCGATGGAGGTGGGAGCACGAGCAGGGCCTCTCCAGATGATCGAAGAGATCATGTTGGTTCGTACACAGAAATACGGTCGCACAGGTTGGCGGGTTCCAAACCGTTTAGGGCTTTGTAGGTAAGAACCTGCACCTTGCATTGGGACTGGCAAATGAACGGCAGCCAATGGAGCTCCTTAAACAGGAGGGTTGGCTGCTCCCTGTAAGGAGCACCAGTTAACAATCTGGCTGCCACCCGTTGAACCAATTGAAATTTCCGGGCCGTTTTCAAGGGCAGCCTCATGTAGAATGCATTACAGTAGTCCAATCTGGAGGTGACTAAGGCATGGACCACCCTGGCCAGATCCGCCTTCACGAGGTACGGTTGCAGTTGGCACACAAGTCTTAATTGTGCAAAGGCCCTCCCGGCCACTGCCGACGCCTGAGCTTCAAGTGTAAGTGATGAGTCCAGGAGGACACCCATACTGCGGACCTGTGACTTCAGGGGGAGTGCAACCCCGTCCAACACAGGTTGCCACCCTATACCCCGATCTGGTTTACGATCGACCAGGAGGACCTCTGTCTTGTCGGGATTGATTTTCAGCTTGTTCCTCCTCATCCAGACAGCCACAGCGGCCAGGCACTCGTCCAGCACCTGAGGGGCTTCCTTGGAGTTAGGTGGACATCACATGAAAAGCCTCACTGAGATCAAAGGAACTTACATTCGCATTACATGCAAAAATACAATTTGATTTTTCATTTATTCCTAAGGCCTAAGTACACCTCACAGAACAGTGTGTGTGTCTGAACAAACGTGAGGCACCTTTCTATAAGTGAAATAATATAAACTGATCTGATTAACTGTATGCCTAATACATCACAATCTTTGGGAACCACCACAACTATTCTGCTATATTGTATGTTAGTTATGGGGTCATTATGTTATTATAATTTCAGTGAAAACACATAACTGAGTGTAAGAATAACCATGAGGAGAAATACTTCATTCTGGGAGAAAAAGCATCCCTACAACATTGTCTTTCATATTATTTCACATGACTTCAGAGAATAAGATTGTTATCCTATGCCCTTTTCTAACTGAAGAAAGTATTTTAGGCATAAGACAAAAATATAAATAAATTAATGAGTATGTTTTTAAAAGAGGTCTAAATATCCAAAAAGGCCCAATACCTTATCAGATAGTGCCTATCTGATCCTGAAAGGTAAGCAGGATCAGTCCTAGTTAATACTAGGAGACTGCCAATGAATGCAAGGTGCTGTTGGCTATACTTAAAGGAAAGTACTGGAAAAGCACTTCTTAGTATTCCCTGCCTAAGAAAACTCTATGCAATTAATTCTTAAATACCAACATAAACAAAAGAAAAGTATGACAAATAGTTTACCACAGCTTTTACTTCTTCCTCTTCCTGCAGTGTCAATGCTCCATCTGCGATCATATGGTCTATTATATAGGAAGTCTTGACATCTCTTTCCAGAGCCTCGCGATTCTGAAGCAAGTGACTTCGAGCGTTCAAATCCATTGTTGTTCAAACTTTGTTCCTTAATGAACTGCAATATGAGATAACCTACATTTTAATGGTAAATAAATATCACCCATATTACTTCAGGAAAAAAAATTATCATACAATACAGAGCTTTGGATAGTTAGTAGACCAACACTATTTGAGCTGCAATTCATTGTGGAGTTGACACTATACAATTTTGAATTTGCCAACTGATGTTTCTGATACACTATTCTAGAAAGGAATACTGAATGTGACTAAGAAAAAACAAGGATCAGGAGACTTAAGAGATATTGTTTGATTTCTTTGTTGAGAAGAAATTAAAGGGGAGAAGCGACCTGATTTGTGATATGGATTTATTTTAGTTTTTCCATATTAAAGTTCCATTTAGACACTGATTTAGTAGAAAAGTTTAACATGCTGTTTACAATTACTGAATTAATTCCTAAATCAGATAAATTATGAGAGGAAACAACATATTACATAGCCCACACATTAATTTTATACAGTCAGAGGAAGCAGTGCATTTTTATGACTTATGACACTGAGCAGAACTTTTAAAAATGTAAGATGTTTATTTTATTGAAACCTGGCTCACTGAAAACTCAAACAAAAAACTGAAGCACCAAGCTGTCATCCCCCCAAGCGTGGTGGTCAAGAGAAACAGTCCGCTTAACAGTCTCTATAGATAGTCTTGATATAATCAAGTAACTTGTCATCTAAAGTATATGCTATTATCCTATTCATAATTTGCCTAATATACTAAAGAATGTATACCAACAGAACATCCCTTCTCTGGAATTCTGTACTCCAAAATCCAAAATTGTTCAGATCAGTGACTGAAATAATTGAAACATTTACTTTTTGATGGTTCAGTGTACATAATTTTATTGAAATTCTTGTATAAAATTACCTTCAGGCTATAGGTATAAAACATATATGAAATATAAATTAATTTCATGTTTAAACTTTGATCTGATCTCTACAATGTATATATAAATAAAGGTATTTTAAAAATTACGCTCCAAAACATGGCTGGTTCCAGGCATTTCAGATAACGGATACTCAACCTGTACAAGCAAATATTCAAGATGAGTCATAAACTTATTCTTAACATCACAATGAGACCTAGTTTGTCTCAAGACAAAAAGGAGCGAAGTGCCATCTAGAGATACGGCTTGGAAATTACATGTGATCCTTTGTGTTTATTAATCTGCCATGTCAGCAGAATTATTCAGAACGAAAGATTAGCAAAGACAACGAAAGTCTAGAGCTGAGGCTATCCAGCGAAATCTGCTGTGACTGAGACTGCAGTGCCATTGTGCCAAGTCTGTAGGCAACACATTACGTTTATACACGTATCGGTGCGTAATTTTCCTGAGGCTACACTTTTCAGTGGCCTCATAGAATAAAAGGATATCCCAAACCTAAACCCATCATGTTTTCCAAAAACAAACAAGCTAACAAACAAAAACAATATGGGGCACCACTTTTGAGACATCAATCAGCAGAAGGCAAGGTAAGTGATACAGGGTGTCCCTCAAAAATGTACACACAATTAACAGCTTATAATTACTTAAAAAAAAAACATTATTGCATAATACAGTGCTATGGATTCATATTACAAAATACAACTATTTCAGCCTGCAACTCACTGTGGAGTTGACACCATACAGTTTTGAATCTGGCAACTGAGCAGGGATTCATTGTTTATGATATTGTACCCTGTACACCACAACTTTCCAAACTGTATCGCAACACATTATGTGGTTGCACTGTGTAGCAGTGTCATGCAAATGTAACGAGTCTATGTGAAACAAGCAATACATCATATATATTTTAAAATATAAAATAAAGGTCTTCATGAGATATGTTGCGCACCCATATATTTGGTTATTACAATTTATGTATGTCTCCATATTGGGGGGGGGGGGGCTGGTGGCACAGCGGTTTAAACTGCTGAGCTGCTGAACGTGCTAACCAAAAAGTCAGTAGTTTGAATCCAGGGAGCGGAGTTAGTTCTTGCTGTTAGCCCCAGCTTCTGCCAACCTAGCAGTTCAAAAACATGCAAATGTGAGATCAATAGGTACCACTTCATCAAGAAGGTAACAGCATTCCATGCAGTCATGCCAACCACATGACCTAGACAACTCTTCAGCTTAGAAATGGAGATGAGCACCACTTTCCAGAGTCTGACACGACTAGACTTAAAGTCAAGGGAAACCTTTACCTTTAACATATCTCTTATGAGGTTTGCTAGTAAAACTGAATTACTGTGTTGCAAAGTGATGTGTACCTAAAAAGTAGGTCACCAACACGCAATGTTTTGGAAGCTCTGCTGTACACTCTTAGCAGGATCAAAAATTCCAATTGAAGTGTCCTGAAATTAACAAAAGAAAACACGGATTCTTGCTTATCCAACCTTCGCTCAGCCAACGTTCTGGATTATCCAACGCAGTTTGTCTCTTGCCCAAATCCACAGCTGCTTCAATACATTGCAATGTTTTTGTGCTAAATTCGTAAATGCAGTAATTACTACAAAACGTTATTGTGTATAGAACTGCTTTTTCTGTCGATTTATTGTAAAACATGATGTTTTGGTGCTTAATTTGTAAAATCATAACATAATTTGATGTTTAATAGGCTTTTCCTTAATCCCTCATTATTATCCAACATTTTCGCTTATCCAACCTTCTGCTGCCCCGTTTATGTTGGATAAGCAAGACTCTATTGCAGGGGTCCTCAAACTAAGGCCCGAGGGCCTGATACGGCCTTCCAAGGTCATTTACCTGGCCCTCGCTCAGGGTCAACCTAAGTCTGAAACGACTTGAATGCACACAACAACAACAACAATCCTATCTCATCAGCCAAAAGCAGGCCCACACTTACAACTGAAATACTAATAAGTTTATATTTGTTCTTCATTTTAATTATTGTATCATTTTTAAGTGTCTTTTGCACGACAAATAAGGTATTTGCAGTGTGCACAGGAATTCATTCATGTTTTTTCTAAAATTATAATCCGGCCCTCTGTTTAAAAAGTTTGAGGGCCCCTGCTCTACTGTATTCCAATAGTACTGTCCTGAAATTACCAAGAAACTCGAAGTGTGACATGCTGCTCTGTGCTTCGACAACGCAAGCAGTATGAATACTTGGGAGATGGAATGTGTACTTCTCATTATGTGGCTGGCATGACTGCATGGAGTGCCAAGCGATACCTATTGATCTACTCGCATTTGCATGTTTTTGAACTGCTAGGTTGGCAGAAGCTGGGCTAACAGCAAGAGCTCACTCCGCTCCCTGGATTCAAACCACTGACTTTTTGGTCAGCAAGTTCAGCAGCTCAGCAGTTATTTGTTGAGCCTTCAAATAATCCCAACAGCTACTATTAAACTGCTAAAGGAGGTGCACATTTTCCTGAACATTGAAAATCCGAACACGTCAGCGTCGACTCCACGCCCACCCTCCACACTTCGAAAGGAATGTTAAGGCACCACTCTGCAAATGGACCCACTTGAATGGAGACCTTTCCCAGCTATATTCCTGTCCCGTCCACCCATCCCTTCAGCAAGCACGCCCTCTCCCCGCGGGGACCACACTTGGGGCTTCTCTGGGCCCTCCGAAGACTCCTTTCCCTCCCCCCCCCCCTCTCAACTCTCAAGGGTTTATTTACCTCAGGCACGAGCCGTGTGTGTGCGCGCGTGAAGGGGCCGCAGGGAGGGGCGGGGCCAACTCGCCTCGCGCTCATTCCCCCCCTCCCCCCGCCTCGAGGGGCAACCGCCACGAAATAACGGGCACTTCCTCCTTCCTGGGGCAAAGCCAAAGCGGACAAACGGGGCGGAGCCAAGCGAGGAGTTGCCAGCTTTCGTCCCTGAAGAGGAAGAAGCGGCGGCAGCGAGCCTCCGAACCAGGGAGAGACTGAGGCAGGGGGAGCGCGCAGCGAGGAACATGCCTGGCTTTGTTTGAACAGAGCCAAACAAGCGGCCGCGCGCACCCGGGAACCAAAGCGCCACCGCGCGTGCGCCAAGCCATTCACTCGTTCTACTACACTTATCATAGAATGCAGTTTCAAACCTATGGCAGCATAGATGGGGCTGCAGTTGTCTCAAACAGCAAACACACATAGGGGACACATATTAGTGGGAAATGTATACAACAGCTTTATGTTAAGGATAGCCAGTCCCCACAAATATATTAAAGGGTGTATCTACAGTAGAATGAATGCAGTTTGACACCACTTTTAACTGCTGGTTATATATATATATTAACCAGCAGTTAAAGTGATGTCAAACTGCATTCATTCTACACTGTAGATGCACCATATATATATATATATATATATATATATATATATATACACACACACCCAAAAAATAGCTAGCCCCCAAAAATATATTAAATATATTGAAGTTAAAGTGGTGTCAAACTGCATTCATTCTACTGTAGATGTACCCTTTAATATATTTTTGGGGGGTAGCAAAAAAATGAATGCAGTTTGACACTACTTTAACTGCTGATCATATATATATAACAAGCGTTAAAGTGGTGTCAAACTGCATTCATTTTATATATATATATATAACCCCAAAAAATAGCTACCCCCCCCCAAATATATTAAATGTTGCATCTACAGTAGAATGAATGCAGTTTGGCACCACTTTAACTGCTGATTATACATATATATAAAACCAGAAGTTAAAGTGGTGTCAATCTGCATTCATTATATAGTGTAGATGCGCCATATATTTATATATATATATATACACACACACACACACACACACACACACACATATATACACACACACACACATACATACATATATATACACACATACATATATACACACACATACATACATATACACACACACACACATATATATACACACACACACACACACATACATACACACACATCCCAAAAATAACTAGCCCCCCAAAATATATTAAATATATTTAAGGGTGCATCTATATTAGAATGAATGCAGTTTGACATCACTCTAACTGCTGTTTAAATTTGTTTTTAAAAAATATATATTTATATATAACACCAGCAGTTAAAATGATGTCAAACTGCATTCATTCTAGTGTAGATACACCCTTTAATATATTTAATATATTTTGGGGGGCTAGCTATTTTGGGGGGATACACACACATATTAAAGGGCACATCTACACTGTAGAATAAGTACTGTTTGACACCACTTTAACTGCTAGTGTTTCACCAAACTACAACCCCCATCGCATTGAGTCAGGGTAGTTAAAGTGGTGCAAAACTGTATTCATTCTCCAGTGTAGGTTTGAGTTTGAAGAACCACACAGAGTGAGGAATCAATGCACTTTGACACTACTTTAACTTAGATGCACTCCTAGGAGGGCCTTTGATGCAAACACAAACATGTTAGAAGATATATAGAAGTAGAGTTGCAAAATTTGCACCATATTGTAATTATAATTAAGTATAAAAAATATTCAACATATTTCAATGGCATTCCCAAATGTCAAAACACTTGAATATTTTTAAAAATCATGCATTTCTTTTATTGCTTAGAGTGAGAAAGTGAATTCAATCAACCCTGTTGTTTATTCGTTCAGTCGCTTCCGACTCTTTGTGACCTCACCGTCAATTCTGCCGCCTATCAATAAAATGCAGGCGGGATGCCTTTTTTTTTAAAGGCACCAGAAGGAGATGCGCGCGCGCGCTTTGGCGTCGGGCGTGCGCCTCGTCGTGACGTGGCGCGTCGTGCACGCGCCCATCTCTGCGAGGAGCTGATGAAGTTGAAGTCAAACTTGGAAGTTACTTTCCCCTTTCTTCCTATTCATCAATAGGTAATGGAGATCGACAGGCAATATATATATATGTATACATATGGGAGTTAAGAAGAGACAGTACAAGGGATTATTCAGTCCAAATCTGTACTTCTAAGCACTGTTATTAAGGCCTAAAATGCCTAATAAAGGCTCATACTGGTTTGTTTAGGATTGCTCTCTGTAAAGCTGTGCAGTGCTTAAGGGAGAGTGGATATTTCTTGAGTTGAATGGGGTTGACTTATTGCATGTATATATATATATATATATATATATATATATATATATATATAATGTATTTACAGTATTTGTATCCCGCCCTTCTCACCTCAGAGTGGCTTACAAATTATATGTACATACAATATATTATGTTATTTGCATAGCACAATATTAGTATTATATATACTCAAGTGGCCAGCTACTGGTCAAAGGGCATTTAATCAACTGCCAAGCTTGCAAATTTAGGGTTAGGGTTAGGATTAGGGTTAGGGTTAGGGTTTGTCTGTTTGTTTGTTTGTTTGTTTGTTTGTTTTGTTCTGTTAGAAATGTAATACAATTGTCTGGTTGCCCCTGACACGATAAATAAATAAAAGTATTATATATTACCATATTGTATTATACCACTATACTACAATATTATTAGTAATATTACATGAAATATAAAATATATACTTATTATATTATAATATTGCATTATTACTATTATATTGTATTACAATATTATGGTCAATGTTATATGTGCATACAATATATTATAATTATTAGTATAGCACAATATTAGTATTATATATTACTATATTGTACTATACCACTATACTTCAATATTATGACTAATATTCCGTGTAATATAAAATATATAATTATTACATTATATTGTATTATTAGTATTATATTGTATTACAATATTATGATCAATATATGTGCATACAATATATTATAATTATTAGCATAGCACAATATTAGTATTATATATGACTGTATTGTACTATACGACTATACTGCAATATTATTCGTAATATTACATGTAATGTAAAATATATAATTATTATATTATTATATTGCATTACAATATTATGATCAATATTATATATGCATACAATATATTATAATTATTAGTATAGCACAATATTAGTATTATATATTACTATATTGTATTATACCTCCACACTGCAATATTATTAGTAATATTAGATGTAATATAAAATATATAATAATTATATTATTATATTGCATTATTAGTATTATATTGTATTACAATATGATGATCAATATTATATGTGTGTACATTATATTATAATTATTAGTATAGTACAATATTAGTATTATATATTACTATATTGTACTATACCACTATACTGCAACATTATTAGTAATATTACATGTAATATATAATATACAATTATTATATCATATTATTAGTATTATATTGAATTACAATACAATATTATTATCAATATTATATGTATATACAACATTATTATTATTATTTGCTCACTTTTCCCCCATTTAAAAGGGGGGAGTTTAGCTAGACAGGCTTTAGGTGCACCCACATTGTAGAATTAATGCAGTTTAACGCCACTTTAGTTGCTCTGCACATTCCCATGGAATTCTGGAATGTGTAGTTTGGTGAGGCACCAGCACTCATTGGCACAGAATTTTTGTAAAACTACAAATCCCAAGACTCCATAGCATTGAGCAATGGCTGTCAAAGCGGCGACAAACAGCATTCATCCTACAGCAGACATGGGCAAACTTTGGTCCTCTAGGTATTTTGGACTTCAACTGCCACAATTTCTAACAGCCAGTAGACTGTTAAGAATTTTGGCAGTTGAAGTCCAAAACACCCAGAGCGCCTGTCTTACGGTGTAAAGTTTGCATTTGAAAAACCACACACATTTCATTTCTGTTCTGTGTAGTAGAATCAATGCACTTTGACTTCCATGGTTCTAGGCTATGGAATCATGGGAGTTGTAGTTTTACTACGTCCTTGGCCTTCTCTGCCAAAGAGGGCTGGCACCTTACCAAACTACAACTCTAAGGATTCCATAACAATGAGTCATGGCAGTGAAAGTGGTGTCAAACCGCATTAAGTCTACAGTGTAGATGGATTCTCAGTCTGTACAGGGATTTCTTGTTAAGACTATGTTGGAAATGAAGCGCAGGAAGACAACAAACCTTTCAACCAAACCGAATGGAGACCAGAGAGAGAAACAGTTGGGAGACCAGAAACAATTGGGAGACCAGAATGGAGACCAGAGAGAGAAACAATTGAGTCAAACATCTGGTTGGATGGACCTACGAATGGCTTCATGTTTACTCTCCCTCTTAATGTGCTCAGGACTAATATGGTAAGTAAAAGGAGAAGAGGAAGGGGGGGGGGGATTTGGGGAATTTCTGTGGGAAATTATAACCAAAAACAAATTCCTTATTGTCGAAGGCTTTCATGGCTGGAATCACTAGGTTCTTGTGGGTTTTTTCGGGCTATAGGGCCATGTTCTAGAGGCATTTCTCCTGACGTTTCGCCTGCATCTATGGCAAGCATCCTCAGAGGTAGTGAGGTCTGTTGGAAGTAGGAAAATGGGTTTATATATCTGTGGAATGGCTGGGGTGGGGCAAGGAGCTCTTCCCTGCTGCAGTTAGGTGTGAATGTTTAGCTGATCACCTTCATTAGCATTTGAAGGCCTGCCTGAGCCTGGGAAAATCTGTTGCTGGGAGGTGTTAATCTGTGCCTGGTTTTTTCCTCTCTGTTGTTTAGCTGTTATAATTTTAGAGTTTTTTAATACTGGTAGCCAGATTTTGTTCATTTTCATGGTCTCTTCCTTTCTGTTGAAATTGTCCACATGCTTGTGGATTTCAATGGCTTCTCTGTGTAGTCTGACATGGTGGTTGTTGGTGTGGTCCAGCATTTCTGTGTTCTCAAATAATATGCTGTGTCCAGGTTGATTCATCAGGTGCTCTGCTATGGCTGACTTCTCTGGTTGAAGTAGTCTGCAGTGCCTTTCATGTTCCTTGATTCGTGTTTGGGCAATGCTGCGTTTGGTGGTCCCTATGTAGACTTGTCCACAGCTGCATGGTATACGGTAGACTCCTGCAGAGGTGAAAGGATCCCTCTTGTCCTTTGCTGAACGTAGCATTTGTTGGATTTTCTTGGTGGGTTTGTAGATTGTTTGTATGTTGTGTTTCCTCATCAGCTTCCCTATGCGATCAGTGGTTCCCTTGATGTATGGCAGGAACACTTTTCCTCTGGGTGATCTTCATCTTTACTCTCGTGGCTTGTTCTTGGTCTTCTTCTCCATGGCTCCAAATGGTGAAGGTGTCATCCACATATCTCAACCATATCGTGGGCTTTTTGGTTGCTGTTTCCAGGGCTTGTTCTTCAAAGTGTTCCATGTAGAAGTTAGCTATGACCGGGCTGAGAGGGCTCCCCATAGCTACTCCATCTTTCTGTTCGTAGAATTCATTGTCCCACTGAAAGTAACTGGTGGTAAGGCAATGGTGAAACAGAGCCGTGATGTCTTCTGGGAACCTCTGGTTGATGAGTGCCATGGTGTCTGCTACCGGGACCATGGTAAATAGAGATACCACATCGAAGCTGATCAGTTTGTCGTTTGTATTTAGCTTGAGATTGCTGATTTTTTCTATAAGTGGGCTGAGTCCTTGATGTAGTGTGTAGTGAGCCCAATATGGCTTTGTAACTGTGCAGCAAGAAATTTTGCTAGGTCGTATGTGGGGGATCCAATGGCACTCACGATGGGTCTGAGTGGGGTGGAGTCCTTATGGATTTTTGGGAGTCCATAGAGCCTGGGTGGATGGGCTTCCGATTTACATAGCTGTTGTCGTATGTCAAAGTTTATGGAGGAGTTCTTAATCAGGGTGTTGGTTTTCTTGGTTATTTTGGCAGTTATAATGAACAAAATCTGGCTACCAGTATTAAAAAACTCTAAAATTATAACAGCTAAACAACAGAGAGGAAAAAACCAGGCACAGATTAACACCTCCCAGCAACAGATTTTCCCAGGCTCAGGCAGGCCTTCAAATGCTAATGAAGGTGATCAGCTAAACATTCACACCTAACTGCAGCAGGGAAGAGCTCCTTGCCCCACCCCAGCCATTCCACAGATATATAAACCCATTTTTCCTACTTCCAACAGACCTCACACCTCTGAGGATGCTTGCCATAGATGCAGGCGAAACGTCAGGAGAAATGCCTCTAGAACATGGCTCTATAGCCCAAAAAAACCCACAAGAACCTAGAAATTCCTTATTCTTTGTCCTGTATGGGGCTTAAGTTGTCATCTTTTACTGGTACATTCCTTTCTCCTTTTAAAACGATTTATTGTGAAAGTCTCTTGCATTTGCACTTAGTAAGTGTAATGTTATGTTTGTAACTGAATCACAAAGCAGTGATAAGATCTCATAGAATAACAGTTACATGAGAGTAAGTCCCATGTAACTCATTAGAGTTCTATATTTGCTTAGAATTAGGCTTCCTGAGAAACTACAGCGAGTCAGTTTATCCTGATATATATCAGAAGTAATGAGAAATACAGTGATATCCATTTGAGTTTGAATCAGTGGATATTCAAATCCTATTGTATACAGAATAATAGTTAATCAAGTCCCATTAGAGACAACGGAATAATAAAAATATGTTCCTTATGTAAAATGGCAAAATCAAGGTTTGCAGAATTCATAGATATGGAAAGCCAATTATTTTTTGTTTCATCCTGTTTAGAGCTAGATAGCTGACCCCTAAATTGGAAAACCATTGTAATACGTTAATTCATAGGTGTATTACAAATGACTGGTTGTGTAGTTTTTCATTAATCTAATGCGTGGTGATCTGCTCTCTTAACTGTTGAAGGTATTGCCATAGATTTTACAACTATAGATTACAATTCTCAACAGTAGTGCTTCTCCTATGGACAGAAATTGCATGTAGTTCAATGCATCTGGAGAGCATTGTTTCAGAAGGTTGTATTAAAGGTTGAAGAAAGGTAATAGTGGGTTTCATAGGATTTTTGTTGGGGTTACTCATACATATACCATTTATACTTGAGTATAAGCTTAGTTTTTCAGCCCTTTTTTTAAACTGAAAAAGCCCCGTTTGGTATATACTTGAGTCAAAGTTATTTATTAATTTACTCTATTTATTATTGTTATTATTCCATTTATTGTTTCACTTTATTTATTATTATTACATTTATTATTTTACTCTATTATTATTATTACTGTTATTACATTTTTTATTATTTTACTCTATTATTATTTTTATTACATATATTATTTTACTCTATTATTATTGGAAGGATACTTCCAGTCGTATCTTAAATTACAGTTTTATGTAAATATTCAAAAACCTACTGATGCCTCAATAAATGTAATTTTATTGGTATTTTTTTTTAATTTTGAAATTTTCCAGTGGCTGCTGCACTTCCCATCCTCGGCTTACACTTGAGTCAATATGTTTTCCTATTTTTTTGTTGTAAAATTAGGTGCCTTGGCTTATATTCAGGTTGGCTTATAATCGAGTATATAGAGGAAGGTGCCTGCTCTACTGTAATTACTACTTCTTTACAGTGAGATTAACCAGTGATCAAATGAATCTGAACAAAAGTACTAATAGTTTTAATAGATAGCAAAATCAATAACCATCTCATTAGTTCCTTAACTCTCTTCTGCTAAAGTATCTCCTCTCTGGATTAAAACAGTACACAAACACAGGAGCTGCTGTCATACAAGAACACTTCTGCCTATCTTTAAATGTTCGATGTACACTTCATCATAGCAACCGTGACATTAATATCTGTAATGTCACTAAACATTTAATAAACTGGAAAGAGCAACTCTACATAGGAATGCTTTCATTTCGGTGTCAGGCCCTAAAGCAGCCATTGAACTGATATAGTTGTTGCTCAGTTTGCTTGAACAGAAGAAAAACAACAATGGCTGTATTTAACTCCTTTGAGTTATTTTCTGTTTTGATCATATGTTTGACTTGTATAGATTTGTAGATGATTGGCAGTCTAACTAATGTTTGCTGGTTTTGTTTTTTTACAATTCTCAGGTTTCTTTTTCAGCAGTCAGCTCAATTGGCTGCAGTAGAGGAGAAGTACAATTTATTAAAGCACGAAACCATAAGGTTTCAAGATATGGAAAATAAGATGAACATAATGTTTGAAGAGGTAAGAATTCAAAATAAATTATCATTATAACATTTGGAATCTTTCTTAAATACTATAAAATCTGCCAAATAGTTTTAATCAAACAATATTAAATTATCATGGAAGCTAAGTAAGGTCTGCACTGGTTAGTACTTGCATGGGAGACCACCAACAAATACCAGGTGCTGTGTGTTACATTTCAGAAGGAGCTGGGAAAAACACTTCTGAGTATTCCTTACCTAAGAAAAACTTATGAAATTCATGGAGGCAGCAGGTCATTTGAATGCACACATGTACATTCCATCTTTGGGGGCAAGAAATGATAATCGCGTACAACAAAAAGTGCAAAATGAAACTAGTTGATCATGCCTCCAAATCCCAAGCCTGCCAGATCTTCCTCTCATAAGTGGTGATTGGGAGTTTATAGTGGGACCATCATGCCTCAACTCACTTTTGCATTCTCGTGTTGTCTTCATATTGTAGGAATGGTATTTATGAAATACTTCAATAGCTTTTTTATCTAGAAGTGGAATTTACTGGGTTTATAGGAAATTAGTTCCTTTTGGTTTGGTATTAGAGAATAAACACACAATGAACTTTAATTCATTCCTCACTATGGCAATATAGCCAGTCAGGGCCTTTGTAGAATTCATTTCCATTTCCTTTTAATGTATTTTGAGGAACATGTTCATTTCTTTCCACTATTTTAATTTGTAGCTTCTGCTTTACTCTTGCATGTATAATTAGAAGTAGATTGCAGTAAATTAGTAAAATATTCGTCCTTTCATGTGTGCTCAAATAAAATCGTCATAACATTTAGAAGAGGAATCTGAAAATTACTTGCCTATCTAAGAAAACCTTTAGTTGTATAGACAAGCATCACCCTGCTGTATTTAGTGAAGATGGACATTGTTTTGTGTTACAAATGCAGCTTGAGTCGTCTTCGGGTGTCCTGCAGGAAACCTATTCATCTTTCTCCAAGCTGACCATGTTTGAGCAAGAAGTACCCAGACTCCATAATATCATGCAAGAAGTTGAAAACAATGAACAAATATATTCAAAAAAGATACTGAGCATTAATGAGAAATTTCAAAATGAAATAAACCAGTGGAAAAGAAGCCAAGCTGAATTAGATAACAATACTAACAGTTTAAAATCAGAAGTGAAACGTTTGCATAGTAAAGTTACTTTTCAAATCAATGAAGCAGATCAAAAATTGAGATCTCTTTCCGAAAGACTGAAAGATCTAGAAGACAGTACAGTCAGAAATCTCAGAACAGTGAATAGACAAGAAGAAGATGAGTTGACAAAAGTTAAAGAGCTGTTGCAGTTTGATGCAACGGCAGCTGAAAAACTAGAAGAACAGCAGAATAGTCTGTTATCTAGAAATACTGAATTGAGCGAAAAACTTGCTGACTCTGAACCCAAACTGGAGGAATGTAAGAGCCATTTGCCAGTAATAGAGAAGGCTATCCATTCGGTTATTAGACTATCAAGTGAGCTGATTGCTGTAAAGAAGAAAGTAGAAAACATGACCATAAAGGTGTTTCATGTGGAAGATGAAATTAGGAAAGCAGTTACAGACATAACGGAGATACAAAAAACTCTTGACATGGAGCATGAGACCAACAGATTGCAATTTCAGAATGAGGTACTTGTTTTAAAAGAAAAAGTAGGCGAGTTTCCACAATCAACAACAGAAGAAAACAACCATAGTTTGAATGGTAAGAATGAAATATTATCGTCCTGAACAATAGTGTTTTAAGATATGTGGGTGCAGCATGGTGAAAGTATGTTATTCACTTAGAGAATGATATCATCTCTCAGCTCCGTTTCCTTGGAGCTGAACTGCAATCTTTACAGTAGCTGAGAGAAAAAATATTTTGCCCAGCAACAGTATATGGTTACAAGCTTTCTCTGGCCTTGAATGCATAGTTAAGACAGTTGTTTTAGAAAATAGCTGCGTTTGGAGTTAATGGAAGACTGCTAGAACTGTAGTGCCTAAAGTTAAATCTTTTCTTCCCTGATATTGGGGAAAGAAACACCTGGACAAACCATGAATAGTGGGTTTATTTTCATTTTGTCATATAGTGTTCCCCAAAACATGTGGAAGGATAATTCTCATAGCCCCTTTGTTTATCTGTCATATTAATTCCCATTCTGTCCTGTGTAAATAAAACACCCTGTATTATCTATATACACAGAGTTGTTAGAGTACACATACTTGTTAGTGATGCTGGGTAAGCAGCAAGAACAGGTTTTCATTAGTGCAGTACAGTGATCTCTTGGTATCCTGTGAAGCTTGAATCCAAGGCTGCTCGTGGAAACCAAAACACATAAATACCCAATTCCTATTATATACAATGGCGTGGTATATGGAAATCTATCCCAGGAAGGGAAATTAATTCCTGAAAGAGTTATCATGGGGAAAGGTGTCTTCACTAAAGTATTTCTCACCAATCCTTGTTTCCATGACAACCCAAAATTTTCAAAATCCAATCATCACAGGGACAGAAAGTGAGGCAAAATCTTCTGAACAGAGGCACAGACACAAAAGAAATGTTACAGGGCTGTTAACCCTTCCCTAAGCTATCAAAAAAGGAGAAAAGTTGCACTTTAAAATGCCCTTGTTCTGACTTACATACAAATTCAATTTAAGAACCCACCTGCAAAACCTGTCTTGTTTGTAACCTGAGGACTGCCTGTATTGGATAAGATTTTTCGGCAGTCTGTAGTGAAAAATGTGCAGATAATCATGCTTTTGTGATCAAAGTGTGATTACCATAGGAGGAGGAGGAGGCAATCACCTGCTCTCATGATCCTTGCAGCAACAGATCAGTACCAGTGTTTGTCATTATGTTTGCTAGTTGCTTCTGATTTTAGACATTAAAAGAATCACTTATATGCCTGTTACTAACTAAGTGGGCAGTAATATTTTGTTAAGAGGAGGAGATGTGATATCAGAGGAAAAATGCCGGATGGGAAAGGAACACCTGGTTATTTGGACAAGCGGAGAGTGCTTTATTGTATCCCACTGTACGTTAGCCCACAAAATACCAAACAAAATTTGATGCTGAACAAAATATGATTTTGTGGACAAGTAGCATGACATGTACAAAGGTTCAGCATTTTTCACATCATATAGGAGTAACACTGCTTGATCATATTGCTGCTTCTTGCAGAAATATGTACTGTAACTTCAAAAACAGTCTTAATTCAGATAGTGCAAGATGTTTGTTGCTCGTGGCAGGCACTCTCAAGAACCAAGCTTTCATGTTAGTTGATTTACTCCTTCTATTAATATATTATTTAGATATCCAGAGGTGGTTTTGCCAGTGTCTTTGAAATATGGCTTATAGCACTTGCTATGTCTTGGCAGTCTCCTATCCAGGTACTGAATGGGGCGGGATCTGATGTCTTGAGGACATTTGAGCATTTAAGACTAGTATCATTTTAACATGTTATGGTGCATTATTCAAGTTGCTTTACCAGTATTCCTTTTCATGTGCATCAGGGAGGTGCTTTAAAGACTTGTCAGAGTTAACTTTTTTGAAGTTTGACTTCATTCTTTAGGAAGTCGTGAATGTTTCTGTTATAAACACTGGTCAGCTGATTCTTGTTGATCAAGCTTTAAAGTCATTCATTACAGTTAGACCCCTTTAGCCTGAGAATTGTGATATATACAGGTAAATATAAACATTCTTAACCATGACTCATATTCAGAGATACAAATGCTTGCTTTCATTTGGATAAAAATGTACCATACTGCAAACAAATTTGGTCTGTCTTAAACCAGAGTCCTACATAATCCAACATTTTCTTCCCAAAGTTGTTGTTGTTCATTCGTTCAGTCGTCTCCGACTCTTCGTGACCTCATGGACCAGCCCACGCCAGAGCTCCCTGTCGGCCGTCACCACCCCCAGCTCCTTCAAGGTCAGTCCAGTCACTTCAAGGATGCCATCCATCCACCTTGCCCTTGGTCGGCCCCTCATTCCTTTTGCCTTCCACTTTCCCCAGCATAATTGTCTTCTCTAGGCTTTGCTGTCTCCTCATGATGTGGCCAAAGTACTTCAACTTTGTCTCTAGTATCCTTCCCTCCAGTGGGCAGTCGGGCTTTATTTCCTGGAGGATGGACTGGTTGGATCTTCTCGCAGTCCAAGGCACTCTCAGAACTTTCCTCCAACACCACAGCTCAAAAGCATCGATCTTCCTTCGCTCAGCCTTCCCTAAGGTCCAGCTCTCACATCCGTAGGTGACTATGTGGAATACCATTGCTTTAACAATGCGGATCTTGGTTGCCAGTGTGATGTCTCTAATCTTTACTATTTTATCGAGATTGGTCATTGCCCTCCTCCCAAGAAGTAAGCGTCTTCTGATTTTCTGGCTGCAGTCTGCGTCTGCAGTAATCTTTGCACCTAGAAATACAAAGTCTGTCACGGCCTCCACGGTTTCTCCCTCTATTTCCCAGTTGTCAATCATTCTTGTTGCCATAATCTTGGTTTTTTTGACGTTTAGCTGCAACCCGGCTTTTGCGCTTTCTTCTTTCACCTTGATTAGAAGGCTCCTCAGCTCCTCCTCGCTTTCGGCCATCAAGTGGTATCATCTACATATCTGAGGTTGTTAATGTTTCTTCCAGCAATTTTCACCCCAGCTTTGTATTCATCAAGCCCGCACATCGCATGATGTGTTCTGCATACAAGTTAAAAAGGTTGGGTGAGAGTATGCAGCCTTGCCGTACGCCTTTCCCAATCTTGAACAGTCTGTTGTTCCGTGGTCAGTTCTTACTGTTGCTACTTGGTCCTTGTACAGATTCCTCAGGAGAGAGACAAGGTGGCTCGGGATGCCCATCCCACTAAGAACTTGCCACAATTTATTATGATCCACACAGTCAAAGGCTTTAGAATAGTCAATGAAGCAGAAGTAGATGTTTTTCTGAAACTCCCTGCCTTTCTCCATTATCCAGCGGATATTGGCAATCTGGTCTCTCGTTCCTCTGCCTTTTCTAAACCCAGCTTGAACGTCTGGCAACTCTCGCTCCATGTATTGCTGGAGTCTTCCTTGCAGGATCTTGAGCATTACCTTACTGGCATGAGAAATAAGGGCCAAAGTAGCAAGCTGAATAAGAGAATTGTTGCTATGTACTTTAAATTATTATGAGAATGTTCCTTGTGATCTACTGCTTTCTTTATATGGAAGGCATGGTCAACCATAACAACTTTACAAAAATCCCATTTAATTTCACATATTAACTGAAGCTTTTCCATTTATGCTGAGATGATATGATCAAACTTGATTTTTAATCTCTCATTCTCTGTACTCAAGTTCACACTTGATACCAATTTTAGTCTTGTTTTTGTAGTAAAACACTCTCAACATAAATTGTAACTAAATATTATTTTAAGGTGAAAAAACATGAATAAAGAAAAATTACACAAAATATAGTTGCTCATCTAAGAATTTGGAAAGACAAACTCATGTAGTATTCTTATATATGTATGTGTGTGTCTATACACATTTTTCTTTGCCTGCTCCAGAGCAAACAGAAAAGACTAGATAACAAAAAAAATTCATTATGGAGCACGTGTCAAATTCAAGGGCTACAGTCACAATCATACAGTTTTATGTGGCCCTCCAGGTATTGGACTAAAACTCCTATATTCCTCATCATTAGACATTATGATTAGAAACGATGGGAGTAGTAATGCAGTAATATCTGGAAGTCTGTTCTGTTTAGTCAGGATAGATGAGTTTGAATTTAGATACAAGACTTGTGGATAGGATGTCTGATGTTAAAATGTTCCTTAACCTTTCCCCAATCTCAGAGCCACAAGTGCTGTTGGGTTGTAATTCCCAACATCATGGCAGATAACTTGCTGCCATGCAGGAATCTGTTTTATATCCTTCAAAGATGAGCATCCACCACTCTGAGGTAGCAAATCCTACTGTTGAACAACGTACTTTCAAAAAGCTCCTAATATTTAGGTGGAATCTCTTTCACATTTTGATTCATTGCTCTGTATCCTAGTCTCTGAAGTAGCCAAAAGCAAGTTGGTTCCATCTTCCATACGACATTCTTTCAAGTATTTCAACATGTATCATGTTGCCTCTCAAACTTCTCTTCAGGCTAAAAATATCCTCATATGCCTCAGTAATGTAAAACATATCCTGGTTAATTTATGAATGAGGGAACCATATATTTTTTCCCTGTGTATTGGACAAAAGCTGCAAAATCATTTAGCTTATATACTAACTGTAACTTCAAAAGTCTGGTACAATGAAATGTAAATTAAATTCTTATCAGGCTTTTTTTTTTCATCTGCAGTGTGAGAAAACAGCAAGTTTATTGGAGCAAGTGGAAGGTCTTCATATGAATGCTCAGATAAAGCATCTGCAGGAAAATATGAACACCATGAAGACGTGGTCTGAAAGGTTAATTCAAGAAGAGGAGGCACTTCAGCAGAACATAACATCTCTTTTTCATACAGTCAAGAAACATGAGGAGGCAACTGCTTCTGCTACTAATGAGTTTTCTGTCAAGATTGCAACTGTGAAGACAGACATTAGACGCATTTCAGGTCTTGAAGCAGATGTTTCCTTATTGGTTGAGGATCTACATACTTTAGAAGATAAAGTAGCTAAAGCTGAAAAGAGTGCAATACAGAGTATAGGGAATCTTCTTACAAACAGCATTGACAGGACTATAGAATTACGAAATACTGCAACTGAAAATGCCAGGCAGATAGAGCACATTAAGGTAAAGTCATCTGAACTGAATGCAGACCTTAACAAACACTCCAAAAGGCTTTTAGATTTGGAAAGTGATAGAGCGAAAGTTCTGAGCACAGTAGCTTTTGCAAATGACTTAAAGCCTAAAGTATTCAATTTTAAAAAAGGTTTAGCACATTTGGAACCTATGTTAGATGAGCTAACATTAAGAATTGGAAGATTGCTCGAGGAACTGTTGGAAAGAAAGAAGGAACTTGCATTCCTGAATAAGAAACTCTCCAATTTAACTTTAGTAAGTCTTACCTGAAGTTACTTAACTGATTTTTTTTCCTATTTGAACTACTCCAGAAACAACATGAACTATACACCTAAATTTAGAAGCAGCATTACATTGAGAGGGGAAAAAAATAATGCACGTGGAGTATTCTGTTGGTTTGTTTCAGTTGTAGATATTTATCTGGTGCTAGCTGCACAATTAAGAACAGTTTAATTCCCATCAACAGAGGTTGAAATTAAGTGTCGTTGACAGCAACTTCATTTATATTAAATGAAAAATTCAATATTGTCTTATTACAGCACTACTTGCAAGTATAACGTCAAAAAGTGGTTCCTAAGATTTTTGAAAAACACCAATTGAAGATGTTATTTTTGTTATAAATAGCAAATGCATCTTTCAAATAGCTATTTATGTAGCTAAATTTGAGAACATTTGCATTAAATTTAAAAAATACTTTTGTATGTTTTCTATTAAAATTGATGAGCTAGATGAAATGGTTTTGAAGTCTTTGTTAGAAGAATTGGGTTGTAATATGCATGGTTTTCTGAACTATGCAGTCTTGTGTAGTATTCAGAGTTCTTACATTGACATATCTGATTTGGAAAGATCAAGAAGCAATTGCCTCAACCCGCTATTCAAAGGAAAATCTTCTGAAAGTGTCAGATGGGAAACTCCTCTACCAATAAAAATATTCATGACTTTAGTACAGAACTAAATATTTTTCTCACTGTTATACAATTTTAAAAATTCCAAGACTAAGTCTACTTCCTCAGATGCATATAAAAACGTATGCTACCACCTTCATTCTCTCAAGTGCTACAAGATCGCTTTGCAGTGATATTCTAGACTAACATGGCTATATCTTTGAAGTGTGCAACTAGACTTGAAATAAGTAATTGCAGATTTGTGAGCTCAAGCATACCAAAGATGGAATAAAGAACTAAGCTAATCAAAGGCCTAGGGTTCACAAAATACTAGAGAATGAATGTCTTCCCTCTTACTGCTGGAATTCAGTAAAATAATTTGATGTTAACAAGGTGAGAGTACTTCACAAAAAGTATGTTATCTAAAAGGCTTGCCATTACACTTGCTCTTATTCTTTTACTTGTTTTGTTTCTATATTTGGTTTTTAACAATGGCCTAAATCAACTACAGGAGACAGACTGAATGAACAGAATCTACAAAAGTATTCACTTTAAAATACCAATGAATTTAGTCAGTCTGGAGGTAAATTTGATTTCAATCAGTAAAAGTGAAACCTTTTTGTAATACATCTTTATTCTTAGCTTTATCTAGGCTACAGGCAAGAATTTGAAGCTTAAAATTATGTGCATGACTATATTGATCTATAAAAGCAACAGGTAAAATGACTTGCCTACTTACATAATTATTCAAAATAACAGCCAACTATTTACACTTTGATCAATTTCTCTTATTTTTTTGTTCAGTGAAGGGATTCCCATCAAACTGTTTTCTTTAAAAGACTTAATATTATGAGACAACAAGCCAAACACTCATAATTCTCATACTGTTTATTTAGACCAATGGTGACAACACTGCAGCCTGAGCCAATAAAATTTTAATCTTCTACATTGCCAAGTGGAAAAAAGTTTCATGATGTTTTGCTATCATTGAGTCCATGATCAATTTACTCTGTAAGCCCAAGTTTTTTCTTCAGAGATTCTGGCATCTCAGGTGGAGGTGGACGAGGAAGCCTGAAATATACCTTCACGGAATCATAGATGAACCACTGCAGTGCAGTCAGGGTGCCAATCATAATAATACGTGCAAACAGCCCCTTCCATACACCTGTTGAAAACACACCACTATTAGTAATTAGAAATAATCATGAATTTTCAAAGTTGGAAACATCTGTTTGAACCCTCACCTTTAATTCCCAGCCTCTTCAGCACTTCCAGAGCTGAACTGCCCTTTTCTTTATTCAGCACAGATACCACAGAATCCGCAGGATGTGATACAATGGCACAGAAGACACCAGCTGAAAACATGTTACCAAAATTAGTTTAAAGTATTTTACTCAGACCTATGTACAGACATTCCAATAACCAACTAGCCCATAACTGCTACAGGGAACCATACAATCTACTACTCATTCTTAACATCATATAAAATTTCTTTAAATATATGACACATTTGGGAATTGACACTACAAGACTTTAAAGATCCAGAGGATCTGTCACAGATACAGTACTACTCTGCCAGGTGCAAATGTTGGCTTGGACAGAATTCTTAAAAACATCTTTATATCAATGTCACCCTCCAGATGATGACAGTTTTGACCATCTCAGGAGCCGTAGTGACACAATGGTTAAACCCTTGTGCCCACTAAACTGCTGACCTGAAGGTCAGCAGTTCAAATCCACCAGATGGAGTGAGCTCCTGTCTGTTAGCCTCACCTTCCCATGCGGGGACATGAGGGAAGCCTCTCACAGGATGGTAACACACTCAGGCATCCCCTTGCAGATGGCCAATTCTCTCACACCAGAAGCGACTTACAGTATATTCTCAATTCGCTTCTGACATGATAAAAAAAAAACCCTCACTTTTGGTACTTTATATACTCATGTATAAATTGAGGACATTTGGGGGGGGGGGGTTATGGATTTTGATATGGTCTGTGGATAAATTGAGGGTCATTGTGTGGAGAGGGGAAAGAGTCTCAATGCATCTCATGGGCCAATGACTCCTGGCCAGTTAGGCATTCAGAAAGGCCAGAAGCAGCTCCACAGTGGAGAGAATAGGTGAGGCCAGTGCTCCTGGAATTAACTAAGCTTGTCATTTATATGAATGCTACATCACAACTATTAGCTTCTATCAGAGATGCATGGCAAATCATTGTTCTGTACTGTGTATGCATGTATCTACATAACCACACTCATTATATGGTTATGTAGATACATGCATACTATATAGAATACGATTATATTTCAGCAAAATAACATTTAACTACTAACGTAAGATCTAGCAGACATAACTCTCTGTAGGTCATCTCAGGTATACTTTAAAATGTTATTGTCTACAATATTATAAGCATTTAAAATAATTACTAAATAAAGCTTTGAATGTGTCTTAATACAGTATTTCAAACCACATGCGCCAAATCAAGTAACATCATTGAAAGCAATAGTTCCACTGCCCTGCATTTTCCAGAAAACTCAAATCACAGATATAAGGCTATAGCTATGACATCTGTGCATATTAGATGTTTCCTTACCAATATAGCCTGCTACGAATGTTACAACCAGCTGTTCTCCTTTGGAACATTCACTCCTTGGTTTGGGGACAACATGTTTGTATAGAGCTTCTACAGTTCGTTCAAAGCAGGCAAACTTCATCATTGTATATGGAATCTGCCTCATCCATAATGGTGCAACACCTTTGTAGAAACTTCAAAGGAAAAAATTAAAAAGGAAATTTAAATATACCTTCTTACTTGAATCTAATGCTCATGATTTTTGGCCAAATTACCTTCCCAAAATTAGGGTTAGCATTGTGTAATATGGTAATTTTAGTGCTCAGCCAAAGCAAAGGGGGACGCTGCTTCAGGAGCACCTGGAGCTATTTGAAGGACATAATCTCTAATTTAATTGCCATTGCTCAATATTATGCAATCCTGGGATTTGTCGATTGGTGAGGCATTATCACCATTCTTTGACAGCCCCCACAGTATTGAACCAGGGCAGCTAAAGAAGATTCATTCTATAGCATTGATCCACCCCAAAGATTTATTTTCCATTGCTGAAAGCTTTGGTGTTCTAACACTTTGGGTTTTAAAGAAGGGATTCTAAACAGGTAGCAACTGTAATGCACATTACATTCCCCAGCAAACACTATTTTTGGTTTTAGTGTTTGGAAAGTTAAGGTGCACATTAGATTTGATGGTACATTAGAATCAAGTAACTACAGTTCTTATTCACTGAAGTTATTCTGGAACAATATGTATTGTAATTTCAGTTGTAGAGAACATCTTTTGCCTGCAGACGGGCCCAACTTAAAATCATTACTTCCAGCATCTCTGAACAGCTGCAACTCCACTTCACCTGACCAAAATCCTGCTATTGTGAGCTTGAAAATGCACCCGGGGGGGGGGGGGGGGGGGGGAATAAGCTTTGCTAAAAAATACCCAGCGGATTATAGTTTCGTGATATAGTAGACACAGAGTCCATGCAAGGTCAGGAAGAGGCTGAAATGGCTCCACAAGCATCTTTTTAGTCCTGGCATTGACCATAGCTTCTTAAACTATGGGTTGGAGCCCCAAATGGGTGCTATAATTGTATGTTGGGGTCGTCTTCTTTTTTCTCCTACGCATCTTTCTACTTCCCTTCTTTTTCTCTTTTGCCTCTCTGCTTTCCCTTCTCTCACACACTTCTCTGCCTTTCTTTCCCTCCCCCTTCACATAAGCGTTTTCAGATAAAAAGGGGGTTGCGAGTCTAAAAACCTTAAGCTCTAATATAGAAAATAATAAGTATGACTTACACATAGTCTGTTACAAAATAGACATTACCTTACAGTCCCAAACCGCTAAGCAAACATAGTTGATAGGCACTCTAGAACTACTGTCAGCAAAAGTAGTTTTTAAATACACCATAATCATATTTGTGTCTTTATCACGTAAATCAATATTTACTTGACTCAAATGATGATGCTTCCAAATAGTGACAACTCAGAAATCCAATAATATAACATAATTTTTTTAAAATTTAAAGGCTAAAAGTTGCAATCATCTTTTCAGAGTTAATCTTAGAACTAATAAACATGTCCACACTCCAGCTAAATCCTGATAGTTGAGAATGACATGTATTAAAGTCATTTCTATCAGAACATGAGACTAGAGTGAAGGTATATTGTTCTCACATGCCAATGACTCAAGCATCTTTGACTGTACAACCGTGAAGTTGCTGATCCCTCTTATCTGGAACTACTTAAAACAAAGTTTAAGCAGAACTCAGCACAAGAGACATCAAACAAAGATGGATCTAAGGGAGCATGTTGGCCCACATCAAATACTGAACTGTACACTTAAAACTTCATTTATGATCTTATTTAGAACTGCAATTGTATCTAAAAACTGAATGTCCATTATCAAATATGAATTTACATAAAATCTCCATTAAAAACACTTATGCCAAAAGGTTTTGTATGCTGTTGATACTTACGCCCAAATACCTTCTTCTGCAAACATTTTTGGAGCTGCTTGCCGCAATGTATTAGCATACCCAGGCTGCGTTTGAATGCGAACCTTAGCAGCTTCCATTGGAGCCAAAGCAATATCAGCAAAGAACTCTGCACTGGCAGATGCAGCCAAGTACAGTGATGTACGCCACAAGTATGTATTTTCCTGGAATAAGTTGGGAAAGATCATTAAATGTTTGTGATTTTTCAATGGAAAAATCTCAAAAGAGGAATGTTAATGAAAAAAGGAGTAAAAAGGCCTACCTCTCCCAATAGGTTTCCATATAGGATTTTGAACACTTCATAGAAACCAAATTTGCAGAGTCCTTGCATGGAATACCCAATAAAGGTTGGGGCCCATCCCTTAGCTAAGCCACGAACACCATCTTCTTTGACAGTAACTGAAAATCCATTGAATATGCTCTTATATTTTTGTGGATCCACCTAAACAAATTTCGGAACATGTTAGCACATTTTAAAGCATTCTTGCAATCACAATCACCACCACAGTAGTTCAGTTCAAACATACAATGTTCAGTACATGTATGTACCAACAGCCTTTTTAAATAAAATCTTTAAAGCATTACTAACTAGATAAGACCATGGTGAAGGAAAACACAAGTAGTAATGCATATCGACAAAGAGACAAGTCAGGTAGCTCTGGCAAAGTGAAGTTAGTTGGTGTCAAGTAGATCTTGCAGAATTCAAGAAAGTTATGACAAGTACAAGTATTAACAGAGATGCAACTATAAGATTCTCAAGTTTTGAAATCAAATATATATGAACATTATCAAAACTAGATGTAATTGGACACTGAAATACAAGTCAACTAGTATGCTAACAGACACAGTAGTCCAAAGTTAATAAAATGGATACTTAAACTACATTTGCTTACCCAAATGTAAGACTTGGAAGAGCTATTTTGACAACAGACAGCAGTTTTTAACTGTCCAGTACATACTTTTTTGATGTGCCTCTTTCTAGACTTAAGTGGTAATATTGTTACTAAATACTAGTAAAGAAAAGGGGAAGAGACAGTAAAAGTAATGGAAGATAGGGCCTGTAATAAAAAGAAAATTGAAAGTAGAGGTGCCAGAAAGTAAGCACTCATATTGTAACTCTACCAAACAAAGAGCATGATGATAAAAAAAACTGTTACTCACCAGTCCTCAGAAACGTTAATTTATTCCATGCTATAAAAATGTTTTAACTGTGTTTGGTTTCCCTAACTATGTAGTCTGGGTATGAAAAAAGTTTAGTAATCCTAAATACTTTGTAGAAGAAATTAGGAATATGCTATTATTGCTTTTAACATAAAACTTCATAAAAACATCAGTACTCTCTCATCCTACCTTCCTACCTCACGTCGCACTTTACTGACTTGCTCCGTTTTACTTTCTGGATTCTCTGATTTCGGTACGGACAGGATTATATTTTCTGCAATATATACGGGATCAAACAACATGTCAAGACCCTTTCCTCAACACCTTTAGCTGCTTCAGAAAAAAAAATACCTTCATCAACTGTCTTGTAATATTTCAAGCAGTTGGTTTTATCTATAATTGTAAATACTAATCTGTTCAATCTATGTTTTACACAATAAAACTTCCATAATATCATTTAAAATATAGGATTATGATATTGAAGTACTTAACTTTAGTGAAATACAATAATATGTATGATTATTGTAGAAGTGGTTTTTTTTACACCTCAAGAGTTAATATTAATTGGCAGGTTATATAAATATCATAAACATAATTCTATGAACAATCCTATGGACAATTGGTTGAGATTACCACCAAATGCAGTGATATAAATATCATGAAACATAATTTACCTCTAAATAAAAATGTAAAGGAAGTTTTTTTCAACTAACTGCAACAGTCTTGAGTAATTACACTTCAAAATGTGTTAAAGCTTCCTTTTATCCTAACAGTATTTTCCATACTTAGTACAAATATTTCACATGTCAGGAGTGTGTGTTATTAATCCGTATTAAATGCTTTGTTATGTTCTTGCGTTGTTTTCGGTGTAGAGTTCGAACACTTGAATTCCACACTAAAAAAAACAACACACAAGAAACTGCTATTTAGCCTTTGTACTACAACAGTCTAATTGTTCAGGGTGTATTGCATTCTTATATTGTATTATCACTGAACATGGATTAACTGTGTTACTAGGATTTAAGGTTTCCTTCCAAGACTTAGAAAAGAAGTTTCCAGTGATTGGCAACATACAAACCTGAATGCGGCACTTCACTAAATCCAAAGGTACGACTGCTGTGTGTGTCAGACCACAACTTAGGATTCCTCCAAAGCCACAGAGAGCATAAAACTTGAGCGATCCATATTCACAACTGTATTCTTCTGCAGCAAAGAAAAGGCACACCATGCTGTTAAGTAAACCACATGCAACTATAAAAATATTTAGGTTACATCCAAATGTTACCTTATTTTGGTTAGGAAACACTCACACTTTATCATGCTATAACATCTGACATGCAATCAAACCTGAATTCGGCATTTAACGAGATCTAAGGGAACCAATGCCGTGTGTGTAGTACCACAGCTAATAATTCCACCAAAGCCACAAAGGATGAAGAATCTCCCAGAACCATATGCACAACTATATTCTTCTGCTTAAAAGAAAAGTAGATACAAGTTGGCAAAATACAGAAATGGGATTACAATTTTGAATAATCTTCTGTAAAGAAATCCTAAAGCAAAGTTTATACCTCAATATTTTAAAATAATTTTAATTTATGAAATAGTTCTAAATTCACTAGAATGTCATCTTTTAAACTGTTTACTAACAGTTTAAAATGATCTCAGTTCTCTATCATAAGTAAATTGAAATAAGAATATAATTTTTACACCATCCTTTTTATGATACTTTAAGATAAACTGAGACTGTCTAGGAAAGTCAGGGATATTATCTTATATCTGACGCCTCCATAATATATAAAATCAATGCTACTGAGCAAGCTACACTGTGTTTCTACATGGTTACATAAAAGGTTGTAGAATAGACAAAAATTATTAAAAGCACAACTATAATTTTACAGGATGACGGAATTAGCAAAAAGATTCTGATAGCCAGTATTTACTTGAAGCTCTATTTGCCCCAATAAATGCCCCACAGAAGAACGAGAAAGAACTTAGAAATATAAAACAAAATACCCAAGTAGATCAAAGTAAGGTCACGTAATAGGACAAAAATCGAAACCTGTCTTTAATATTTGTTAAATTGGAAAACATAACTTATTTTGAATAACTCGGAGCATGTTTTGTTCAGATTCTTATCTAAGAATCCCCCAAATAGGAACTCCCCAGACATCTTGAGTATATCCCATAATCCATACAATCGATGCAATTATAGAAGTTGTAATCCAATGCATTTGGACAGCCTCACACTGAGAGAAGCTGCTGTAGACACCCTGATAAACACCAAGAAATTCCCAAGATCTTCCAACTGACCAATTCATCACCTTTATAGTTATATCTCTGAAATTTAAAACTGCAACTGATCCAATGAGAACAATTTAGCAACTCTTCTAATTAAACGTGAGTTGTTGCTAAGAATTGCCTAATTTTTTTAGTCTCAACTACAGTATACCTAGTGAATAAATTGGTAAATATTGATTTAATATTTAGACATCCATCCAATGGACCTAATCTAGTTGGGATTAGCAACAGGATTTCAAGCAGTAGTGGACAACTGCAGAGCAGGCAGGGTCACTGTCCCTTCACTCCCAGTTCCATGGACTGTCTGATTTTTACCATGGGATGAGGGGGAAACAGCAAACAAGGGACCCAAACCACCCAATCCAACTTTCAGAATGAGAAACTACAGGAGGTACCCAAGTTACAAACATTCGCTGTACAAATAACTCATAGTTATGAATGGAGGTGAGACAAAGGAAGTGAGGGACACCTAGCCCTCTGAAGGGAAATTCACTCCTGAAAGAATTATCATGGGGTCTCAACTGAAGCTTTGTCACCAATCCTTGTTTCCACAATAAGCCGAATTTTTCAGAATTCAGTTATGACAGAGACAGAAAGTGAGGTGAAATCTTCTGAACAGGGGCACAGACAGCAAAACAAACACCACAGGGGTGTTAACCCTTCCCTATGTTATCCAAAGACTGCCTATGGCTCAAGTTGCACTTTAAAATGTACTTGTTCCGATTTGCATACAAATTCAACTTACAAGCAAACCTACAGAACCTATCTTGTTCGTAACTTAGGGACAGTCTGTATTTAAAATTATTATTATATAAAAAAAACCACCCTTAGTTGGGACACTTCTTACCACACTACAAAACATATCCTTCTCTCTTCCCCTTCACTACCCTATAAAATTTGCTCCAAGGGTTTCCTTCAGCACATTCAAGATACAGAGGGGAGATAAGTACTGTAAACTTTCCACTACCTGATGCTATTCCACTGGCAAGATGCAGCTAGATACAACTCAGATCTAATGCACAATGTAAGGATATTGTTTCTAGTGGCATGAAGTCTTGCAGCCTATAGCTAATACATGAGGCAACAGAAGCAGAGTCTGTAAAATGCAAATATTATTGTCTATGGCACTTATCTGAAACTGAATGTATAAATGAGCAAAATGGCTACACAAAAACAGCAGTAATAATCTCTATTAACAAATTACTGATTTTGAGAGGTTATGCTGTGGTCTTTGTTGGTATGTTTAAAACACATACACATTTGTGTGCATGTCCTCCAATATCAACTGATGTGAATGCTTCACATAACTGGCAAAGCAGGTTCTAGTAGGCATTTCAAGCTTATCTCTTTATCTTCACACAATTCAGTTCTGGTGTCAGAGACTAATGCTGCTGGCCGCAAGAATCAAGGAACACTGGTTTATCTTATAATAAAAGTTTTAAAATGATCAAAAATGGTAAAAAATAAATGTGCTTCCATAAATATAAATAAATAGTATATAAATAAACAAAAATAAAAAAGACTTATCCTTGATTTGTCTCAATACTTTCCCAATGCAACTGGCAGGATTTAGCTCAAACCTTCAGCACAAACATGAGTACAGGAATTATAGTAATACTTCTCCTCTTCCCCTCCCCCAATCTGACCTTCTGCATATTTGACATCAAGGTTGCATCTGCACTGTAGAAGTAATGCAGTTTGACACTACTTTAACCACCATGGCTCACTGTTACAGAATCATTACTTTGGTGAAGCACCAGCACTTTTGGGTTAAGAGGGACAGCTCCCATGATTGCATAGTAGGGAGCCATGGCAGTTAAGCTGGTGTCAAGCTGCATTAATTTTATAATGCAGATGTACCTGGTGCCACAGGAAACTGGGTTCAAACCCCTACTCAGCCATGGAAACCCACAAAGGGGGTGCGGGCAAAGTCATACTATCTCAGCCTCTGAGGAAGCTATTCTTGGCAGGCCCCCTCTGAACAAATCTTGTCAGGAAAATCCTGTAGTTTGCACCAGCACTCTTTAAAGGTAAAGGTTTCCCCTTGACATGAAGTCTAGTCATGTCTGACTCTGTGGTGTGGTGCCCATAGAAGAGGGGTCCTCAAACTTTTTAAACAGAGGGCCAGGTCACAGTCTTTCAAATTGTTGGAGGGCCGGATTATAATTTGATAAAAAATGAACGAATTCCTATGAACAAAAACACTTAAAAACACTTAAAAACACTTAAAAACAATACAATAATTAAAACGAAGAACAATTTTAACAAATATAAACTTATTAGTACTTCAATGGGAAGTGTGGGCCTGCTTTTGGCTGATGAGATAAGATTGTTATTGTGTGCTTTCAAGTCATTTCAGACTTAGGTTGACCCTGAGCGAGGGCCGGGTAAATGACCTTGGAGGGCTGTATCTGGCCCTCGGGCCTTAGTTTGAGGACCCCTGCCATAGACGCTTAGAAATAAAGCTGAAGAGCTGGCATTGCCCATAAATGCCTCCAAGGTCACGTGGCCAGCATGGCCGCATGAAGCACCATTACCTTCTCACCAAAGCAGTATTGACCTACTCACATTTGCATGTTTTCAAACTGCTTGGTTGGCAGAAGCTGGGACTAACAATGAGAGCTCACCTCACTCCCGCGGATTCAAAACGCTAACTTTTTGGTCAGCATGTTCAGCAACTCAGCGGTTTAACCCATTGTGCTGCTGCGGGCTCCAGCACTCCTTAAATTTTACTAAACGCCTTGTGAAACTACAGCTCCCAGTGTGCAACTGCATTAATTTTAGATGCACTCAAAGTGTGGAGACCTTTTTCCCACCATATTAAGTCTTGGCCACAGCAGGCCAAGGAATCAATTTGGAGGCAAATCACGATTTAAACCGCGGGTTCAGCAGCTCATCAGTTTAACCTGCTGTGCTATCGGGGGCTCCAGCACTCCTTAAATCAGGGGTCCTCAAACTAAGGCCCGGGGGCCGGATATGGTCATTTACCCAGCTCTCGGTCAGGGTCAACCTAAGTCTGAAATGACTTGAAAGCACACAACAAGAGCAACAGTCCTATCCCATCTGCCAAAAGCAGGCCCACAATTCCCATTGAAATACTAATAAGTTTATATTTGTTAAAATTGTTCATTTTAATTACTGTATTGTAATGTTTTTGTGCAGTGTGCATAGGAATTCATTCATGTTTTTTTCCAATTATAATCTGGCCCTCCAACAGTTTGAGGGACTGTGACCTGGCCCTGTTTTAAAAGTTTGAGGACCCCTGCCTTAAATTTTACTAAAACCTTGTGAAGCTACAGCGCCCAGTGTGGAATTGCATTAATTCTAGATGCACTTCAAGAGTGGAAACTTTTCCCTCCACAAAATCAAGTCATGGCTATAAAGGAGGGCACAGGAGGCCAAGGAATTGATTTGGAGGCAATTTAGGAATTTCCTGAGGCCCAAGATCCTTCCCTTGAATGGGGCTACAGCGAGGCGACCTCCCACTAGGATGTGCCAGGCGACCTTCCAGGCCTAGGGGTTAAAGTTAAAAGGCCCGCCTGAGGAATGCCTGCAGCAAGGCTGCAGAGGAAGCCGCCCCCTGAGGGCCGAAGGGAAAGGAAAGGCCGACGTTAGGTGTGGCGCAATGGGCCGCGTAGGCCGAGGGCCCAAGGATGACCTTTCCCGACCTCCAAGAAGAACCGGGCGGGGCCGACCTCGAACAGGCTCCCTCACGCCCTCCCCCGGGCGCGGGTATTTGCAAGTGAAGGGGTGGCAATGATTCCTTGTCCTGCTCACCCTCTGCGGATGCGGCTGCCAGGCTCCGCCGGGTACACGAGGCCTCCTCAGGCTCCGCCGGGCGCTTCCTCAGCCCGAGGCCTTCCTGCTGCAGCTGCAGATGAGGAGCGTGGAATGGGTTCAGCCGCACAAGCGGCGCAATGGACGAGAACATGGCTGCGGCGGCGGGGGGAAGTTCTGAGGGGGAGAAGCAAGATGAACCGCTATTAAGAGGAAAGCAACGCACAGGCACAGCGTTCCCCGTCCCCTCCCATAAACCCGGCGCGCTGTGAGGCAGGAAACCTGCAGCTCAAACGCCTCCCACGGACTCGCCTCCTAAGATGGCGGAAGGCTCCGCTCCTCCACCGGCACCTCCGTTCTAAAGGCCGAAAATCACCCTTCCTCAATGACTTTGTCCTTCGCTGACGCAAGAGGCGGGGCCGCCGTCACGAAACGCGCGCTGGGATTGGGCGGCGCGGTGTACGCGCTTGCGTCACGGCTCTGACGTTCTTCCCAGCCGCGCCTGCGCCCTTCTCAAACTGCTTGCTCCTCTCCCCTCCCGTTACGTGAGCGCAGGCTGCAGGAGAGGCCTGGCCTCTTCCAGCTTAGACCTTGGGAAGGAAGGACAACTGGTCCGCTTGAGTCTGGCACCGGCCGGATTAAACTCCCAACTGACGCTGAGGATAGATAACATCGAGAGAAGGCTACCAAGGAACATGAAAGGCACTGCAGACTACTTCCACCAGAGAAGTCAGCCATAGCAGAGCACCTGATGAACCAACCTAGATAATATTTGAGAACACAGGAATGCTGGACCACTCTCACAACCACCAGAGAAGCCATTGAAATCCACAAGCATGTGGACAATTTTCAACAGAAAGGAGGAAACCATGAAAATGAACAAAATCTAGCTACCAGCATTAAAAAAACTTCTAAAATTACAACAGCAAAACAACAGAGAGGAAACAATCAGGCACATCTAATCACCTCTCAACAAAAGATTGCCCCAGGCACTGCCAGGCCATCAAATGCTAATCAGCGTGGTCAGTTCAAACATTCACACGTAGCTCCAACAGACAAGAGTTCTTTGCCCCACTCTGGTCATTCCACGGATATATGAACCAATTTTCCTGGTTCCAATAGACCTCACTACCTCTGAGGATGCTTGCCATACATGGAGGCGAAACATGAAATGTTATCCGATAGTACAGTATGGATTTTCCCCCATTATTTTGCATCATACAGAAAAACTTGCTTGTCTTTCTGCACAGAATTATTGTTGTTCTTGTTATTCTTACCATTTCCCACTTTTCTCTCAAAGCGGCTCCAATAGACCTAGTTCCAATAGACCTCACAACCTCTGAGGATGCTTGCCATAGATGCAGGCAAAACGTCAGGAGAAAATGCCTCTAGAACATGGCCATATAGCCCGAAAAAACCTACAACAACCCAAAGCTATCTGGCAGTCAATGCCCAGGTCCTGCCTTCCTGCCTGAAATGTTCAGAATAATATACTGAAGCTCATCATCCACTGAGACCCATGTTGTTCATTCCTTCAGTCGCTTCAGACTCTTCGTGACCTCATGGACCAGCCACGCCAGAGCTCCCTGTCAGCCGTCACCACCCCCGGCTCCTTCAGAGTCAAGCCAGTCACTTCAAGGATACCATGCATCCATCTTGCCCTTGATTGGCCCCTCTTCCTTTTCCTTTCCATTTCCCCCAGCATCACTGTCTTCTCTAAGCTATCCTTTCTTCTCATTATGTGACCAAAATACTTCATCTTTGCCTCTAATATCCTTCCATCCAATGAGCAGTCGGGCTTTATTTCCTGAAGTATGGACTGGTTGGAGCTTCTCACTGTCCAAGGCACTCTCAGAACTTTCCTCCAACACCACAGTTCAAAAGCATCTATCTTCCTTCGCTCAGCCTTCCCTATGGTCTAGCTCTCACATCCATAGGCAACTATGGGAATACCATTTTTATTTATTTATTTGTACCCCGCTACCATCTCCCCAAGGGACTCGGTGCTGCTTACATGAGGCCGAGCCCAAATACAACAATACAGATAATAAATAACAATACAAGCAATTAAAAAAACATAAGCAATAAAATATACAACATTATCATTAAGACAACACACAATTAAAAACAGTGGGAAGGCCAAATGTAAAGTTAAAATTGGAAATAATGTTGGGACCTGGACAAAAGGGGATAGGGTGTTTGTGAAGGGCGTACTAGCAGACCTAAAGAAATGTAAAGTGCTTTGGAGGACAAAGTGCTTTGAGATCATTATTCCGGGAAGGCACACTAGAACAGCCATGTCTTCAAGCTCCTCTTGAAGACTGCCAGAGTTGGGGCCTGTCTGATGTCTTTAGGGAGTGCGTTCCAGAGTCGAGGGGCCACCACCGAAAATGCCCTCTCGTCCCCACCAATCGCGCCTGCGATGCTGGTGGGATCGAGAGCAGGGCCTCTCCGGATTACCGAAGGGATCATGTGGGTTCATATATGGAGATGCGATCATGAAGGTCGGCGGGTCCCAAACAGTTCAGGGCTTTGAAGGTAAGAACCTACACCTTGAATTGGGTCCGGTAGATGAATGGCAGCCAGTGGAGCTCCTTGAACAGAAGAGTTGACCGCTCCCTTTAAGGAGCCCCAGTTTACAACCTGGCTGCCGCTCGTTGGATCATCTGAAATTTTCAGGCCATTTTCAAGGGCAGCCCCACGTAGAGTGCATTGCAGTAATCCAGTCTAGAGGTGACTAAGGCGTGGACCACTTTGGCCAGATCCGCCTTCCCGAGGTATGGTCGCAGTTGGCGCACGAGTCTTAATTGTGCAAAGACCCTCCTGGCCACCACCAACGCCTGAGTCTCAAACGTCAGTGAAGAATCCAGGAGGACCCCCAAACTGCTAACCTGTGACTTCAGGGGGAGTGCAACCCCATCCAGCACAGGCTGCCACCCAATACCCTTCTGGTTGATCTGGTTTACGATCGACCAGAAGGACCTCTGTCTTGTCGGAATTAATCTTCAGCTTGTTTGTCCTCATCCAGATAGTGACAGCGGTCAGGCACTCATCTAGCACTCAAGGGGCTTCCTTGGAGTTAGGTTGAAAGGAGTAATAGAGTTGTGTGTCATCTGCATAGAGATGGCACCCAACTCCAAAACTCCAGATGACCTCGCCCAGCGGTTTCATGTAGATGTTAAAAAGCATGGGTGACAGAATGGAACCTTGCGGGACCCCACAGGTCAGAGCCCAGGGGTCCCGCTTCACCATCTGGGATTGACCCTCCAGGAAGGACTGGAGCCACGACAGAGCCATACCTCCAAGGCCCATCCTGGAGAGGCGTCCCAGAAGGATACCATGATCAATGGTATCGAAAGCCGCTGAGATGTCCAAGAGAACCAACAGGGTCACACTCCCCCTGTCCAGCTCCCTGCAGAGATCATCCACCAAGGCGACCAAAGCCGTCTCGGTGCCATGACCAGGTCTGAAACCAGACTGTGACTGATCCAGGTAATTGATGTAATCAAGGAAGCCCTGGAGCTGAGCAGCGACCACCCGCTCCAGCACCTTGCCCAAAAAAGGGAGGCTTGAGATTGGTCTATAGTTATTCAGAACCGTGGAATCAAGGGAAGTCTTTTTCAGGAGTGGTCTAACCACAGCCTGTTTTAAGCTTGATGGAAAAATTCCTTGCTCCAACGATGTATTGATGATTAACATAAACCAATCAATTAGACCATCCTTGGCCAATTTAATTAGCCAAGACGGGCAAGGGTCCAGAGCCGATGTAGTAGCTCTCACTGCCCCAAGGGCCACCTCCACGTCCTCAGAACCAACAAGCCGGAAGGATGTTGTTTAACATCTACATGAAGCCGCTGGGCGAGATCATCCGGAGTTTCGGAGTGAGATGTCATCTGTACGCAGATGATGTCCAGCTCTGTCACTCCTTTCCACCTGCTACTAAGGAGGCTGTCGAGGTCCTGAACCGGTGCTTGGCCGCTGTGACGGTCTGGATGGGGGCGAACAAATTGAAATTGAATCCAGACAAGACAGAGGTACTCCTGGTTAGTCGTAAGACCGAACAGGGTATAGGATTACAGCCTGTGTTGGATGGGGTCGCACTCCCCCTGAAGACACAGGTTCGCAGTTTGGGTGTGATCCTGGACTCATCGCTGAGCCTGGAACCCCAGGTTTCGGCGGTGACCAGGGGAGCATTCGCAAAGTTAAAACTCGTGCGCCAACTGCGCCCGTACCTTGGGAAGTCTGACTTGGCCACGGTAGTCCATGCTCTGGTTACATCCGTTGATTACTGCAACGCTCTCTACGTGGGGTTGCCTTTGAAGACAGCCCGGAAGCTCCAACTAGTCCAACGGGCGGCAGCCATGGTACTAACAGGAGCGGGGCGCAGGGAGCATACAACTCCTCTGCTGCACCAGCTCCACTGGCTGCCGATCTGCTACCGGGCTCAATTCAAAGTGCTGGCGTTGGCCTTTAAAGCCCTAAACGGTTCTGGCCCAACTTATCTATCCGAATGTATCTCAGCCTATCAGCCCACCAGGACCCTAAGATCTTCTGGAGAGTCCCTGCTCTCTATCCCACCGGCTTCCCAAGTGCGGCTGGTGGGAACGAGAGACAGGGCCTTTTCTGTGGTGGCCCCTCGGCTTTGGAACACCCTCCCTATAGAGATACGATCAGCCTCTTCGCTGATGGTGTTTCGGAAGAGATTAAAAACATGGTTGTGTAAACAAGCATTCGGTTAGTTTGTTATCACCGAATTTTATGGACTAAGGACTGGTTAATTATGGATGACGAATTCTGGACTGTGATTTTAGTGACGAGATACATGGTATTATTATTGGTGGCCCAATAATTTGTATTGTCTATGTGTTGTTGTTTTAAATTGTATATTGTTTTTAATTGTTGTAAACCGCAATGAGTCGCCGACTTAGGCTGAGATATTAGCGGTATACAAGTGTATTAAATAAATAAATAAATAAATAAAAAATCCCACAAAACTGGACAAGCAGATGCCTCGGTCACCTCTCTTGGAACTGCGATCAAACTGGAGTCCAGCTCAAGACGTATCTGAGCAACTTTGTCTGCAAAGTGCTGCGCAAATTCGCAGCATCAAGTTCTTGGGTTGTCGAAGGTCTCCTCCACCTCAGGAGGGTGAAGAAGTTCCCCCACAACCCGAAACAACTCCGAAAATCTATTAGATGCAGACGCTATACGGGCAGTCGTGAAGGACTCCCTGGCTACCTGTATAGCCACGGAATAGGCCCTAAGTGAGGCCACAGCTCGTGCTTGGTCAGATACATCCTGAGATTTCCTCCATTTGCACTCTAGCCTCCTTCTCGTGCGTTTCAACACTGCCAGCTCCCCAGTGAACCAAGGAGACAGTATGCCTCTACGCAACGAGAGGGGGCGTTCGGGAGTGATCA